TATTACTTGATAAGGGGGCTGATCTGAATCTCATGGATAAAGAAACACTCCTATCAGTGGCGGTCAATCATGGGCATGAGAAAGTAGTCCAGTTATTACTTGATAAGGGGGCTGATCTCAATCCAATGAATGAAAACACACCACTATCAGCGGCAGTGAAAGGGAATTGTGAGAATGTGGTGCGAATATTACTTGATGGGGGAGCTGATCCAAATCCAAAGTATGGAGAAGCACCACTATTATGGGCAGCAAGACACGGACATTCGAATGTGGTCCAGCTATTACTTGATAAAGGTGCTAATTTAAACCCAAAGGATAAACAAACACCACTATCATGGGCGGCAAGAAATGGACATCAGGATACGGTCCGGCTATTGCTCAAAGGAGGTGCTACACTGCATCCAAAGAGTGAACTGACGCCACTATCATGGGCAGCAAGAAATGGACATCAGGATACGGTCCGGATATTACTCAAAGAAGGTGCTACTCTACATCCAAAGGGTGAACAGACACCACTATCATGGGCAGCAAGAAATGGACATGAGAATGTGGTTTGGCTGTTACTATATTATGGTGCTGATCCAAACTTAACGAACGGAACAGATCAAGCACCACTATCATGGGCCGCAAGGACTGGACATGAAAATATGGTCCAGCTATTACTGAAGAGTGGTGCTTATCCAAATCCAATAGATGGAACGGGTCAAACACCACTATCATGGGCAGTCAGAAATCAACATGAGAGTGTGGTTCGACTGTTAGTTGAAGGTGGCGCTGATCCAGACTTGATAAATGAAACGGACGAAATACCAAAATCTTGAATAGCAAGGAATGGCCGTGAGACAGCGGTCCAGCAGTTGAGAAATACAGCCCAACATCAAGAATGGACAGTACAGTTGGCGGACATGGAGTGTACTGTGGAAGCAGCTGTAAGGAGTCAAACATACGGTCTGATTATGAAAATACTGACTTTTTGCCATTCTTCATATCCTGTAGATTGAAGATTTATTATGCACTCCGTACCTTTCGGCCTTGTTCTATACTCCATCAATTCCATCGTTTTTGGCCATTTCCATCGATCCTTGCTCGCAGCTATCGTGACTGTGCCCTATGGGGCTACCAGGTCTAAGCCGGCTTCCTTTGCCACCTTTTCTGGTCGATGCGTCTCTTCATTTGACGGCTTGAGTGGCAAAGGCCCACTTCAGTAAAGGAGGTGCTCTTCGAATCGCCTCGCGAGACGGACAAGAACGGAACTCCCAAGGCGGCAAATCGGCGGTGCATAAAAGGGTACCCACAGAGCTCACAAGTGTCTAGATATCTTTTGTAGCCGAGTGGTATTCTTTGCGACAGGAGCATACTCGGAGCACAGAGTGGAAGACCCAAATGGGACACATCGTGGGGTTGCCAGGTGATTCCAGTTCGGCGTCGTCAGTTCCGTTATGTCGTCGAGTTTGAGCGGTTGCGATGGCAGCTTGGGCTTATCTCAATAGGACGCTGCCGTTTACATAATATCCATCTTCTGGTTCAGTTGGTCCCCGGCCCTGGTTGAGCTCGTGTGGGTTCAGAAACATAATCAAGACTGGTTGTAGTATTTGAAATGTAGGTATTGGCCGTATTGACCGTCATGTTGGTCCGCGAGCTTCACATCTCACTGCTAGCTTCCCCGTAGAGAAAGGATCAGACGGTATGCATGGTCAGACCCTGGAGCGTATGAGCCATAAGAATGCAATTAAATAAGAGCAACATGCTACATGTGGTACGATAAGTATACTGTAATTTCAGCTGCAGCTAACCTCAAGCATACGAATATACAGGGGATATTTGGTGCTGAGCTGGTCCTATAGTGAATTTTTGGGGTTATTCAGTCACTGCAAGAGGTCGGCTAGTCAGATAAACGCCAAACATTCACGTTCCTGCATGTTTTGTGGATTGTCATCATTCCACAGATTACACAAACATCATTTCATTAAGTCATTCTTATGGACTCATTTAGTCTTTCTCGTGTTCTCCAGTTCTAACAACTTATAATGCAGGATGTCAAATTTACTATTCTCTGAATCCAATCCTGCTAACATTATTGATTCAAAGAGAGCCCCGCCTGAACTAATTCATCTTTGCTGACTGCATTCCAGATAATCCCAAAACTTAGAGTAAGCTGTACGGGCTATTTCAAGGCAATAAGCAAACATAATCTCTGATTCCAAAAAGTTACAGCATATCTATCTCAAATTCAGCAATGGAAAATGATTGATCAAGATGCGTGAAGCCCATAAGCCTTCGCACCCGCATGAAGACATGAAAACCTATACCGGAACAGGAAGAACATCACACACGGCCATATATAACCTCCCAGATACCAGTGGTTGCAAAAAAACCTACTTCTTGCGGCATCCACCTTTGCAGGCACATCCAAAGGCATTGCAAGCTGCGGATATCAGTAGGTAATCATTTACAGATAGGCAAAAGAGACTCACGGCCCTTGCCACAAAAAGGAGTGCCAGCCGTGCCATCAGCACACCACTATTAAACATATTAGCAAATGGCGTTTCCCACTAGAATTGTATCAGTTGTTAGGCAGCCTACCCTGTGACCTTTACCTCCCTTGACGGTATGGCAGCAGTCCTGCGTTCTCTCGGGAGAATTAGGAGCTGGCTCGGCTGCCAGACCCGCGCCAATGAGGCAGAGCATGGTGACCGTGGTGTAGAGGAACTTCATCGTAACGGATTTTCTGAAGGTTGACTAGCTGAATCAGGGGGTAATAACAAGTAAACAGATGATGGGTATGCTGTTAAAGAGAGCTATGATAGCTGGGAATCAAGTGGATTTTATACCTCTGATCATCAATGGCAGGCACCATAATGTGAACAGACCTCATCAGGGAGGAGTGACAAATGCCGGATTACACCCCCTGGCTACATATTACTGGATCCTTGCATTCTAAACAATTCCCTTTTGAAGATTTGGCCGGGATTGAATCACTTGTCAGGTCAAATACTGAGATACTGCGGTCAAGACTGAAACCTGTCGGCGGTGTAGTGTTTGCATTCCTTCAGCCACTGCACCAAAAGCCGAATAGGCATTTGATCGAACTTGATATGACTGATATTCAACACATCTCAACTCAATTGGGCTGCCAAGATATCAAGTAACCAGTTAGAGGGTATATCGCGGGAATGCTCCAGCCCCTTGCTGTATAGCATTGTGAAAATTGGCAGTTTCCAATTCGAGTAATGAGAAGCGCTTTCTTGTTATCTTGGCACATTCCGATTTACCTAATAAATGGCATCTACATTTGAGTACCTCGTTACACTCAGAAGAGCTTAATGAGGGCGGGGAGAATCAGATAACACGAGGAGTTGGAATGTTGACATTCGCCAAGATCTCTTGGCGCAAGGAGGTGGAAGGCTTCAAGGCGGCACAGGAACGAAATAGAAATTGTAGTCACAAATGCCATCATAGAAAGAATGAGTCTTATTTAAGTCGATATAAACCTGACAAGGGAAGCTGTACTGATCGTCTATCTATCGTCTAGTCTGGGAGAAGCTGTGATATTGCTACACAATCATTTGTTTTAGAAGTCGTCTTTGAATAAAGCAGACTAGGCTACCTATTGTGCTCTGTTACCCTGTCTCGGGAGGTGAATGGGTCAAGAAAAGAGAGCATTTGCAAATGATAACCATGGATTTGCTTGTTATCCATATCTAGAAAGAGACTGACAGAATCCCTTGATGCACATCCAGGGGGGCCGAGTGTCCCATGCTGTAGATCTTGATAGTATGGAATGCTGGGTTTCACTCGAAAGTAGACTGGGATTGGGAGTTAGCATGCAAGAAATGACAGCCCAGTTCTGTTTTCTCCGTCGACGGTGTCTGGATATGACACCTTCGGGTATTATCATTTCCTGGATAGGAGTATCTTTTTAGTCATTACATCATGGGCCTAATGGTACAATGTTCTCAAGGATACAAGATCCGGCTATTGTTTGTTTCAAGTTTGAATTTAATCCTTTTAATTATTTTGAATATATACATCAACCCTAAGTATCTATTCCCATGTCTTACTGTCCCAGAGACTAATCACTAGTTTCCAAAGCATATCAGAAAGTAACAAAAAGCTATGCAATACATTTGCAAACCGATGCAAAAAAATTAATTATATACATAAAAGCATCTACACACACCGTCCGACTTCTTCTTCACATAGTAACCCAGGCCAACCCAGCTAGTGCTGATTACCAGAACTTAATTCATACACAGACGGACGACGACCAGTCGGGTCCATCTCGTAAGGAAATTGTTGCGGCTGCTTCAAGCCCGGCGCGCTCATCTCGTATGGAAACTGCTGCTGTTGCTTCATGACCGGCGGGCCCATGTACGGGTGATCGTGCGGCCATGCGACGCGGTCTCGCCGGTGTTTTCGTCGGTAGATGACCCAGACGACGATGCCGGCGAAGAAGGCGATCCCCGCGATTGGGCCTGCGACGGCGCCTGCGATCCACGCTTGGCTGGGTGGAGAGGGGTCTGGTTTTGAATTGGGTGGGTCGTCGGTGGGCTTATCTTCTGTGGATGTGGGCTTGGCTGCTGTGGGAGAGGCTTCTGAGGGAGATGGTTCTGTGGACTTGGTTTTGGTGGGCTTGTCTTCGGTGGGCTTGTCCTCGGTGGGCTTTGCGGTTTCCTTGGTGGTTGACGTAGTAGAGGCAGGTGATGCGGGCTGGGGCTTCGATTTTGTGGATGACTCTTCTGCTTCTATAAAAGATTAGATCTCCCGCAGAGTAAGCCGGGATGGGAACGTGTACCTGGCGTGGTGGTCGGTTCTGGTAGCTTGCGATACACTTGAAATGCGCTCCAATGCTCTGCGCAGAAGATATTACTGGCCGTTGGGCCTTTGAACGGTGCTGATTCATAGATTGTCATCGTCCGACATACGTTGCTAGATTCGGACAAACACGATTTGTGTTAGTGCTTGCTTGCATGGCTTGAACATGTTCGGGCGGCCGCAACTCACCAGGTACTGGTCTTGCCATTGTCGTACGTGATGGAGTTACTCTGACAGTCTGTCGCAACGGAGCATGGGTTCGTGGAGCACCCACGTGCATAGGACCCCGTTGTGCTCCAGAAGTCCGGGTCCGTCAGTGCCTGGGCTGGACGGCAGGGTTAGTCTCGTGGTTTTATACTTGGATCTCGACTGGGTGAAAAGGGAAAAGGTCTCACTCGTTGTGGGCCCAATGAACCATCCTATGAAATGGGGATCATATTGTACTGAGGTGGGCACGGGGTCGGCTCGGACTGTGATTGAAACCAGGAAACCATGAAGGAACAGTAACCACCCCGAAACAGACTTGAAAGGGCTGGAAGCCATCGACAATTTGCCCGTCCGGCCTCAGACTTTCTTTTCTTTGGGAAAGCGACGGGTTTGGTTGGATGGTTCTATGTCTTTAGATCTTCCACGGTCACACAACCCTCGAAGCCCTAAGAATAGGTATGTTTCCCCGCGAAAATACAACCCACGGCAAAGATAAGGATCACGGCAAGAAATAACACCCAAGGCAGAATAGGTCTCGCCGCAAAAAGAGATCCCACTGCGAAAATAGTTCTCAATACATAGAGCGAGGTTCGAGGAAGTTGGTATGTTTGCTTCGAGAGATTGCGCGAAGTTTCAAACCCAAGAGAGAGGACCAGCGCGTCCGGGCTGTGCGAGCGCATATATGCGCTGTGTCCCCAGCGCTGGCGCATGGCAAAAGGGGGGTTTGAGCAAACCCGACATTCTGGAAATTGTAATCCTTCGTGGTTTCGCAAGCCACCAGAGGTCGAACTTAACCATAGGGCATTGGGCTGAGCCTGAGACGACCGCTAAGATATGTTTAGCACAGAACCAGGTGGTGGACAGAGTGGGTCTAGATCCAATCGCTGACTGGAGATTGCCGCCGGCGCGATAAAGAGTACTTTCTGTCGCGATCAAAATAGATTGACAGGCCAAGTGCTGCAAGTACGCGCTGCTGTGAAAACGTCCGACTGCATCCACTTGTTGTGGTGAGATTATTCCCTGCGTGTCTGACCTCTCACAAGGCTTGATCGATCATCTTAACGCCGGAACCTTGACCCTGGTGGGTCTCCGGTCCATAAATGTCCACTCCAGGCGAACTCTCCGGAGGACTAACGTGAAACTAATTCGATCGGCTCGTTTGGTGTCCATCGAGGCTCTTGGCCCAACTGACTAATTTAGTCGGCGCTAAACTGAACGCCCAAGATTGGCTCTGTCCCCTGTCTCATCACAGGCCAGACAGACGCTTTGTGATGTGCCACCTCGCCTCGCGACTCGCCCCCTCAAGCTTTCTCTGTCTTGGTGTGAGAGAAGATGTCACTTGCACTTCCTGCTATTATATAGGTACCGCTGTATCCTAGTGGGTTCATTCGGATGTGAATGTCCCCCTCATTTTTGAATTTGATTCATCGACTGGTCTCAAATGGGCGGTCCTTCCATGATACCGGCCCCCCTCATGCAGACCGGGCGCTCCGTGCGTCTGGTCGTGGCTTTATCGCTTTCCTTCGTGATCCTGTACTCCTTTTATCTAGGATGGCCCCAGGTCCCATCTCAGGTTTTCTCGAGCAGCAAGGCTTCATCGCCCCCACCATCTGAAGCGACGCAGCCGGCGACCGGCGACGCAGACACATCGCCATGGTACAATGCAGACCCAACCCCCGACAGCCACTGGAGCAGCGACCCAAAGAGTCGACCCCCGAGCGCCGAACCCTCCGGCTATAACATCCCTGAGAAAGTGTGGCACTCGGCGAAATTCGACAACATCACGGACCAGCAGCGGGAATGGACCAACAGCTGGAAGGCGAAGAATCCGTCCTGTCGGCAGGAGTTGCTGAATGACGAGGCCGGCGCGGCGTTCGTCCGCTCCCACTACTACGAAACGCGACCGGACATCGTCGAGGTCTACGAGCAGATCCCGATCCCCATCTTTCGCGCGGATCTCCTCCGCTACCTGATTGTCCTCGCCGAGGGCGGCATCTGGAGCGACCTGGATGTCACATGCGAGAAGCCCATCGCCGACTGGGTGCCCGAGGAGCACAAGCGCGAGAAGATCAGCATGGTCGTGGGCATCGAGTGGGACTTTGAATGGCGGGGCCCAGATAAGCAGGTGGCGTCGCAGTTCTGCAACTGGGCGTTCATGGCGGAGCCGTGGTCGCGCCATCTCCTGATGGTCGTCAACTCGGTGGTCGACAAGTTGAAGGAGATTGCCCGCAACAACGGCGTCCCTGTCAGCGGCATCACTCTGGACATGCTGCCGGTGGACGTCGTGGACGTGACCGGGCCCAAGATCATGACCATCGCTATCCTGAAAAGTCTGGCCGAGATGCTGGGCAGACCGGTTGACGATCGCGATTTCGCCCACACCAAGACGCCTAAACTGGTTGGAGATGTCCTGGTCCTACCGGGCGCTGCGTTTGCCGCCCAGAACAACGGGTTCCCGCAAGACCAGGGGGATGTTTTTGTCTCTCACCATTACGAGGGTTCGTGGAAAGAGGCTGATGCAGCCGCCAAGGAGCGGAAAAAGCAGCAGCAGGAGCAGCAAAAACAACAGGAACAACAACAGGAACAACAACAGGGACAACAACAGGGGCAACCAACTACAGCGTAAGATATACCAGTCGCGAGCATTGGCGTTGTATTTATTCTTGTTATTTCTCTTCTTATCTATCTTTGTTGTTTGTTTAGGATGGGTTTTATTTTGTAGACATAGTATGGGTTTCATCTTGGTCACATTTCCCTTGATGATGTACAGATATCTTAATGAATATATTATCTGTTAATAAATATAGGAGTGATCTGTATACATTATCTTGACATATTCAGACTATTTTGTTCCCCATGGCTGTCAATCTTTGCCATCATCAAACCTCGCACATTTTGACAGACTCAATGGCATAAAACATTAGTCTGATGTAATCAATACATGTCTGTAAACGGCAGGCGGTGAGAAACAGATGATGAAATGCGAAGGATCCCCACGTGACATACCCCGCGGCCGCATTTGTTGTGCTTTTCCAGTCATCCGTCGACTCCGATTTCGCACCCACAGTCAATCTCTCTCCATTCCCAATTCCAACTATCCTAACCTGCAAAATGTCGCCCTACAAGTATGATCTAACCCCTCCGACAGACTTGAAGCCTCATGCTGACCACCTATCCTCTCTAGAGTGCTGATGCTGGGTGCGGGGTTCGTCACCCGACCCACGCTCGATATCCTCTCCGAGTCCGGTGTCGCCGTCACCGTGGCCTGCCGGACCCTGGAGTCCGCCAGGGCCCTGTCGGCCGGCGTTAAGAATGCCACTCCCATCTCGCTGGATGTGACCAACGACCAGGCTCTGGATGCTGAGCTCGCCAAGCATGACCTCGTCATCAGCTTGATCCCCTACACTTTCCACGCCGTCGTCATCAAGTCCGCTATCCGCACCAAGAAGCATGTTGTCACTACCTCTTATGTCTCTCCTGCTATGCTGGAGCTGGATGAGGAGTGCAAGAAGGCTGGTATCACTGTTATGAACGAGATTGGTCTGGGTAAGTGGTCTAGTCTAGTCCGGCGGTTTCTCGTCCGAGTATTGACTAATTGTGATTTATACAGATCCCGGCATTGATCACCTCTGTAAGGATTTCATCAGGACTTGAAATTTACCACCAGACTGATTAGGATAGACGCTGTCAAGACCATTGAAGAGGTCCACGCCGAAGGTGGAAAGATCACCTCGTTCCTGTCGTACTGTGGTGGTCTGCCCGCCCCCGAGAGCTCCGGTAACCCTCTCGGCTACAAGTTCTCTTGGTACGATTCCTGTATATCACACACTTGTCACTTGATGATACTGACTGTACGGTGAAGGTCTCCCCGCGGTGTCCTGCTCGCATTGAGAAACGCCGCGAGCTTCTACAAGGATGGCAAGGTTGTCAACGTCGCTGGTCCGGGTAAGGAGCGCAGTTGCTCGCTATCTTGCAGAAAGTGAATGCTGACATTATTCAGATCTGATGGCCACTGCCAAGCCCTACCACATCTACCCCGGTGAGTAGCCTCGAAGTTGAAAGGCGTGCACCAATTATAGTATGTCATACTGACGGATTTTAGGCTTCGCCACCGTTGCGTACCCCAACCGCGACTCCACCCCCTACAAGGAGCGCTACAACATCCCTGAGGCGCAGACCATCATCAGGTACAGTCACACCCCAGCTACTGAGTCCTATATAGGTGACTAACACCTATCAGAGGTACTCTGAGATACGCCGGCTTCCCTGAATTCATCAAGGTCCTTGTCGACATGGGCTTCCTCCAAGACACCGAGCAGGACTACTGGAAGACCCCCATCGCCTGGAAGGAGGCCACCCAGAAGCTCCTCGGTGCCTCGTCCTCGGATGAAGGTGAATTGCTCCGCGCCATTGCTTCCAAGACCTCTTTCAAGGACAACGAGCAGAGAGACCACATCCTGTCCGGCCTCCGGTGGATTGGAATCTTCTCCGATGAGAAGGTAAGCTTATTTTCTCTTTATCATCTGAAGAAGAGTTATGGGGCAACGAGCTAACGCAGTGGTTCAAGACCATCCCCCGCGGCAACCCCCTGGACACCCTCTGCGCCACCCTCGAAAAGAAGATGCAGTTCGGCGAAGGCGAGCGCGATATCGTCATGTAAGACCACTCCCTCCAGCAACAAAAAAAGAAAAAGAAAAAAAACACAACTAACACAGCCCAGCCTCCAACACAAGTTCGAAGTCGAGCTGAAGGACGGCACCAAGCAGACCCGTCTGTCCACTCTCGTCGAGTACGGTAGCACCGAGCCCACCGGCTACTCCGCCATGGCCAAGCTGGTCGGTATCCCCTGCGCCGTCGCCGTCAAGCAGGTCCTGAACGGTACCCTCTCCGAGAAGGGTGTTCTGGCGCCCATGAACGGCAAGATCAACGGGCCTCTTATGAAGGAGCTTAAGGTATGTCTTGCATTATCTTTTGTTTGGTTATTTAAGAATGAGATACTGACGTGGATTGTTCTAGGAGCAATACGGCATTGCCTGCAAGGAGGAGATCGTCTAAGCAATGATCTTACACTTGGAAAATATAAGCAGTGATCTTGGAATAAATATAAAAAACGGTTGATCATATAGAGCAAAATATAGACACGATCTTGGTACATCTATTCTCTGTAGCTACTACTTCTTTCTTCCTCGCTGGGCTCAAACCTTTCTGCTCATGCAGGATCAATCACATGGCGAGCCATTGAGACTGGTGTCCTAGTCTTGTCTGTCGTGCTAACATCGGACTTACTTCGGACTATCTACCAGTCTACTAGAAATCCTCAGCATAAACTCATCGCAATTATCGTACACATACGTTCACATATAATACACATCAATACATCACACCATAAGACCGACCGCGCGTAATTCCCGTGACTTCATCAGGAGTTCCAAACCCAGTTAGAGCAAGGCGACGCGAATCGGCTTCGTCATCGACAACATCACCACCACCACCACCACCAGACTCCGGCACAAGCCTCACCTGACTCCCATCACGGTCATCATTGGCTTCACTTCCAGACAGTTCTCGTTTCCGTTTCCGAAGCCCACTACCAGCCTCCGGCTTCGAGGACGAGGACGACGACGATGTCCCCAGCACGAACTCCCCAAACTGCACGGGAAGATCCTTCAACTTATTAGGGACGTTCGCTTCGCCCCCGAGACACCCGCCAGCAGCTAAGCGATCCACACTCGGACTCCCACGAGTCGTCATAAGAATCTGCAAGAAGCCGTGATCAGTCGCGGGGACGCCGTTCGTCCAGAGAGCCCACAGCCCCGCGACCAAGAACGGAAGGACGATAACCAAAGTCATGAAGTAGGGGATGACGAGCCGCTGGATGCGCGAAAAGTGGTACTGCTGGCGTGGGTCGTGGCGGGTGACGTTTGTGCGTGTTGTCCAGCGGTCGTATTTGATGATTGCGGATAGGGTGATGTTTAGGAGCATTTCGTTGAGGATGTTCTCGTTGAGTTTGAAGAGGCTCTTTGAGACGTAGGTTCCTTGGGAGAGGTTGAGGTTCCAGGCTATGAAGATTGGGGTGTAGTGGGCGATTGTGTTGTTTGCGTAGCCTATAGGTTGTCCATCAGTTAATGCTTTTTTCTTTTATAGAAAAAAGTAAGAACAAAGCAGGGGGGGTGGAAAGAAGAGAGAACATACCGTAGATACCATCGTCTGGGTCTGCATACCACCACCAGCAGTCCCTGCCTATAGCGTTTGCGTGCTTGTCGTCGCCTTTTTGAAATGTGGTCGAGTCGTATTTCCCTGTCAATTGCGAAAGCATAGCAACAGCCAGGGTCATGAGGTTCGCGTCACGGACCTTCTCAGTCACCGCCGGACCCCAGTCCCCGCCTTTGGAATGGTGGATCCACTCGTCGACGGACTTTCCAGCTGGAGGCGGCACCGTGTCTATCAGATCCACCAGCGGGTGCACAGATTTGGGGGTGGCTTTTGACGCGAGCCGATTATGGGTGTAGTTCTGGAAGACATCGTAGGTGACTCGGTGCGGGACACAGAGGAATGTTTCTCGTTTGTAATACAACATAGTTTCATCGTCATCTTGGTCGACGGCGGCTACGGAGACGAGATTGGTGAATCGAAATTTCGCGTCCTTGTCCGGTTGGTCGCCGTTCTCGTAACCCGATGCCCAGTGCGCGGTGTAAATGGGTTCCTCGATCGAAGTCATATTCAGGACAGGGCTGGTCTTGTTTGTGCAGCGCAGGTATGGCGCGTCGATCGTCATGTGGTAGGAGCACGACCCGCCACAGGGCGAGGGGCCGTTGAATACCTCGCCATTGACGATCGTGCCGAATGCGAGCTGCGACACGGAGGGTTTGGTCCATAGGCCATCCGGGTTGGGGGTTAGCGGGTAAATGCCCTCTGAGTCGGAGTTGACCAGCGCCAACGAGTTGTCCCGGAGGGCCTTGAAATCGCCATTCCACATCTTGAAGAATACACGTCAGTATCTTTTCACACCAATCCACCTATCTACCGGACAGGACTCACATCTGAAGGATTAAACGTCGGTACATCCGCCATGTCGGAGTGTACGTAGCTGGCACTGTCCAACGACAACGAACTGGGCGGGAACGCAGTAGCGATTGGGATCAGCCAGATTTGACAGGCGACGGCCACGAGCAACAATCCATGCCGTAGGACTTTCGGCTGAAAACCGAAAACGGGATTGCTCCGTAGGGTGTATAGTGTTTCAACGATGCCGAGCTTGATCGGTGCCAGCCGGACGAGTCGCCAGAAGTATTGTGTGAACACGGCAGCCAAGGTCGTGCGGATGCTGAAACTAAAAACGGTTGCCGCAATGGTTGCGAAGGTCATGATATGGGCTTGATCTGGGATGTCCGGGTCGTTCTCATACTTTCCGTCGAAATACTGAAAAGTCAACAAGTGTGCAATGGCAATCAGTAGGCCTATCGTTCCAATGAGATACGTTAGCATGCTGCCCCAGTCCCTCGGACCATATCACGCAAACCTAAAATATACGGGACCACCATCAAGGATGGGATCTGAGACCCGATGCCCCAGCGGCATTGCTGGGCGGAGTCATTGGCGGTGGCACCTTGGCCCACTCGGTGATACTGCTTGTTGCTCAGTGCTTCCTGGGACGTGTTGCCGTTTAAGTCTTCTAGTGGTATGTGGTGAAACTTTTGTGACGAGCGCATTTTGCCAGTTAGTATTAAGAATTAGGCCCATTAGGGCAAGCTCCACACCAGAAATTCATAGGAATTTACTCAAGCTCTCCTGACTGACGGGCCTCGCACGTCTTTATTTCTTCGATCAGTGCGGCTGAACTTTCCGTTTATCATAGGCTAGTAAATTGGCCAATTGTCCTGGCCGATCTTTATTGAACGAGTAAGCATTATACTCTGTACGGGCATGATAGGCAGGATGCTGCTCCGCATTGCCGTCGGCGTAAGGTGTGGGTGGGTCTGTTTTCTCTCCGTCCAATGGAGGTACCCTTTTGGTGCTTTATGATCCTCCGTCGATGTTAGCTTCAACCTACTTTTTGCGGTGTATGCTTTTGACAGGTGCGTGGCTCTGTTGAACGGCACATTGAAAACCGAGTCAGTAGTTTTGGTCACTGGCATCATTCCTAGACCTCTTGCTTAACCACAGGAGATGAAGCTGTCGTAAATCTCATATACTGAGATCAGTGGCTTATCGCGGCAACAACGCCTAGAGCATACGTGTTGCATCTGCGAACGGAGAATTGAATGAATTCCCGGTCTATCCGTACTAATCGAGCTTGCGGTAACAGTGACAACCAGATTTGGGGTGAGTATTGTTTTTCTGGGAACCAGACTTGCACCTGTAGAAATGCTTTTCAGGATATCCCTGACAAGAAATGCCGTCTAAATGATTGATTGCCACCGACCGCACAACTCTCAAGCGTTAACCAGCACTGAAGCTAAAAGCAAGAGTCGTTGCTGTCAACCGTTGTAAATTCAGATCCATGGTACTTGACAGAATGAACCAGGACCGATGCCATGATATTTCCGGAAGCCGCGTCTATTAGCCAGTGCCAAGGAGGAACTGAAGGGATGTCCAGAATTCAACTCGTATCAGTCGGGACAAAGTTAGAAGAGGGTATGGCTTTTAAAGAAACTTTCTACACCTTTAGGTGTAAGGCAGACGAAGTGAAATTGATGAAGTTTGTGACGGGCCTGACAAAAACTGACGATGTGAAGAAGTGTTGGAGGGAGAGATCAATTCCTCCAGGATGCAATCAACATAGTCAGTGACCGTCACCTGACTATCCACGCAACATCGGTTTTCTTGGACTGACTGCATCCATGCTTTTCCGTACAAACGTACTACTATGATTGACTTGGATACTATCGAACATGAGGAATTATTAGAACTAATTCTGATTAGCTTCTACGGGGCTTAACTCAATTATAAAGCCTAAATTAGCAGTATGTTCTAGAGCTGCCGACTCAGAAGGGGCACAACTATCGAGTCGTTAGTTTTCGATTGCAAACTCCAGATATAGAATACTAACCTCTCCTTATAATAAGATTTTATTTCCGTTAAGCTCGAGGGCGATTTGTTTGCTCGCTCACGAAGCATGTAAGTGGGATCCTGACCCAGCTTTCGCGATTGAAATTCAGCATCATTTATCGCGGGCGAAGGAAGTTACCCCTCGAGGAGTGTACGCCATATACACTGACCAAGCAGTCAAACTAGGCGAGTGGGATGTGGAGAGATAACAATGTTTGGCCATATGACAGGTCTTGAATCTGATGTATCATCTACGAGCGATCACCATGTACCTAGGTAGAATCCAGGTATTAGGGTTGCCAACCCTGCACATTTGAGTCAGTCGATAGTTCGGACACATCCCGTCGAAGCCTCTCTACAAGTAAGTTTATAATTAGACACTTGTTAATATGAAAACATGAGTCTCATCTTATGTAGGTGTCTAGATCCTGTACAGACCACATGGCGGCCCCAATCTGGCGCATAGCGTCACCTCCTTGCATGCATCTTACCCCAACGGTCCGTGTGCAAAGTCTCTGCGGGGCCGATTTCATTGTCCAAACGTCACTACAGGGCTATCCCCGATCGATGCAAGGTGACATACACAGATCAACAGCTGTCTGTCACATTCTATCCAGAATAATTATCCCGAAATTCGGAAGCCGCTAACAACTGCTATTTCAACGCCTAGGTAGACGGGCCCTGTTTCAATACATTTTCCATAGATCTAAATTATCTATCGACAACTGATATTGCTGCATCATCTCTGACGTCTACTAAGGACCTGATTGTCTCCCCTTACTCGAAGAACCAAGAACGACCTCGAGAATAAACTCCCGGGCTGAAGATCCGGGAAGCCATATGTGACCTGTAAAACCATGCAATCCAAACGGTTAAGGTTGAAGAAATGCGACAAGATAAACACCATTAGCGTGGCTGTCCAGCGAGCTCTTATACCTAACCGTGTCCAGCAATCTCAGAATTCCAAATACATGCGGCCAAAATAGCTATCCCCCAGTCAGGATCGAATTTTGCCTTTCTTCCCACTCTTATTCACTCTTTCAGGCGAAATCCATCAGATGTCTCTATCGCAGGTATCAGACGGCGGTGTCTCAGGTGATTTTGAGCACCCGAATGCCAACCTGCGTCGGGCCGTGATTGTCGCTCTTTATTTTGCATTTATTCTGTCAACTGTGTCAGTTGTTTTGCGTCTGGTGGCGAGACGAATCACAGGCACTGGGCTTTTGCTGGACGACTATCTAATTGTAGCGGCTTTGGTAAGACATAAACTGCTGCTTGCACAAGATGCATGTTGACCGTTGAAATCTATACGATAGCTCTTCAAGTATGGATGCTCAATCGGAGTCGTCGTCTGTAAGTGATCTATACTTTGAGATGATCCCAAATTAAGTCTTACCAGAGCAGTGCTCTTCAACGGCATGGGATCCCATATCACAACGATCCCACCCGAGAATCTCGAAGTCTACATGAAGGTTTGCACCTCTTGACATGGCTCAACTAGACCCCAAACTGAAGTGAAACAGATTGGATGGTCCAATCCATTCGTTTACACAACCTGCATCGCACTCATCAAATTGTCCGTCCTAGCCCTCTACAAGCGCCTCTTCACCACACAACGCATGTGCGTTGCCGTTAACGTAGTCGCCTCTTTCGTCATCCTCTGGACATTGAGTATTTACATTGTTGGGCTCCTGCAATGCCTCCCGGTGAACAAGTTTTGGAACCGTGAAATTGAAGGGACTTGCATTGACCCTGCCATGTTCTTCTATGGCATGCAGATCCCCAACATCCTTACCGATGCTGTCTTGCTAGTCATGCCACTGAAGCCGGTTTGGTCGCTGCGGGTTTCCACAAACCAGAGAATTCTTCTTTCCTTCGTTTTCCTCGTTGGTATCTTGTACATTCCCCTTCGTCACCCCTCGAACACCATACCATCTCTAATGTCAGCAACAGAACTTTGATTTTTGATATCATCCGACTGGTAGCCATGATCCAGTTTACCCACTCCGGTCCAGACATAACTTGTGCGTGTCCTCCTCCCCTATGGTATGCATACTTTTGTACAGAAGTACTGACAACCAAAGACAACCAAGTCCCCTTCGTCGTGTGGACCTGTATCGAAGCCGCGGTGGGAATCACCGCCGCCTGTCTCTCCAACCTGCGACCTCTCTTCCGGCTTGGCCAGCGAGATTTCTGGTCGCAGGCCCGTCAGTCAACGGGCCACTCGAAAGAGGAGCTCAACAAGTCGCAGGACCTATCGTTGGAGGGTAGTAGTATCGGGTATGTGCAGGGCGGCATCTATACTCGCCACAGTGTGTCTATCCAGCATGAAGAGGCTTGAGGTAATCGGATATCAGTGTTGACTAGGTTCTTTATTTATTTACTATTATATGATGAATTGGTGTGATAATGGTTGGAGACTTTCAGGTGGAAGTCTGGGACTCGGTGGTGCCGGTTGTTTAACACCTTCATTGTGTATAGTTATTGTTCTTTATTGTCATTATGGACTAATGTTTTTTGTATCAATCTCCTTTTGTATTTTTATTTGTTCCTGTTCCTTGACACTGAAAATACCAAATAATACGCCAAGAGAAGATACAGCATAACATTAACAAACTCGTTTCTATTATAGCGTCGTCACGTCTAGAATATTTGGGTCTTCACTTATGAGCGACCACCAGCCATGTACAATTTACTACTAGTTCAGGCTCAAGTATCAGACTCGAGATTTCAGATTAAACATGCAATGAAGCACCCATTCCGAGCATTATCTGTCTCTGTCTTGTCGTAAGTCACATACCATCCACCTAAAAAGCCCTACAACATAGCAATGGCACCCCTCTCCCTCTCCATCAAATCCTCGACCTGTTCCTTCGACGCCATAAGCATACACACCCTACTTTCTCTGTTCTCACCCTCATGGAAAAAACGCATACCCGCGGACTCCACGTCCCCCCACAGCCGTTGATACTCACCCTCCTCAAAATACAACGATTCCCCATCCGCAAATCCCATGAGAATCACTGCCGACGGCTCTCCTCTGCAGCAGGCACACCCTTGACCCTCGTAGCTGGGCTCTGTCGCCGTTCCGGCTGTGATGGCCGCTTTTCGAATGTCGTTGCTGCGCTCGTACAGTTCCAGGAAGAGCGGGTCGAGAGGAAGGTAGGATAGGCGGGTTGCGAAGGAGGCGTGCTCTGCCGTGCAGCGCCTGCCGGTTTGTAGGTATAGTCTGCCTAGTGAGTCTAGGTGGGCGATGCCGCTGTAGTTGTTGTGGGTAATGAGGCGGTCGGCGGTTGGGGAGACGGATGGAGTGAGGCCTGGGAAGAGACGTAGCATTTCTTGGATTGTTTCTTCCAAGGGAAGGCTGTCGAGGTGATCTATGTGAGCTTGGAGGTCTTGTGGCTGGGCCATGATGTCGCTGTGGGAGGCGCTTGTACAAAGGATACTGGATATGATGACTATGATGGGTTAGAAATAGGTGAGGTGAGGAAGTGAGGTTGTTGTAAAGACAAAAGATACGCGGGGTATTTTATAGCCTCGTCGCGTATGTTATTCACTGGCCCTGAATGACTCTTCCCCATTCATTCACTCCTCGCATGGATGCCTACAAGACCCCACCGAATACTCAATAGCTGCCTAGCTATCGCGAGCTGCGTGCATCTCAATCTACGGCTCATTCGACTGAGATTCTTTTCGGTCTGGCAGATCCGGTCGCTCATCACACCATGTATGGGATACCAGGTCATGAAACCACCATTCTTCTAATATCCTCAGATATTTCATACAGTTTCAGTAATCAATAACCCCGCAGATATAACAATGCTAATCTTGTTGCCGCACTTCTCCGTATATAGATGTTAGTCTTCCCTGGCGGATGTACTGTGGGTCGGTGCGCTCGCAAGAGGGACCGACAAAGTGGGGATCCGAATGAATCGGCCTTGTCATTGGGGTTAACTTACTAGCTTGGCTGGCTAATTAGGAGTGGGTTCTCAAAGTGGGTCCGGATTGTGTTGAGGAACAGATTATTCTTGGATTTGGTCCTGCATGGGGTACTGGTACTCTATGGTGGTCGCTGCGTTTCGCCACAAAACATACACAGGTTGGGCTCATGGGGGCTTGAGACGAGTGAAACTAATATGGAATTGACAGTGAAAATGTTGTTATCGTTTGTTGTAGATATACGGGATGATTATAATGGAAATTTGACCTGTAAACTGCTAGAAATCTCGTCGTACAACACGGGGATATATAGCTAATAGGGACTACGCTTTGATGACTTGACAGCCTATCAACCAAAAAAAAAAAAGCAAGACCTGGACTATTTCTGGTCTTTTTGGAGCTGTGAGATGTGTAATCGGCCAATATCAACTGACTTGTAGTGTTTTCCCAACATAAATTATTGTTTTGATGCTTCAAATCTTGCAACCATTCGCAACTTTAAAGCATGGTTATCATCATTGTCTTGAGCAATTTCATTGGTCCCCCACACAGTTTCTCTGGAATCAAAGAAGAGTCCTAAATGAGAATTGGCTGTGCATATCTTAAATTTAATAGATATAGTATGATTCTTGATAAATACATGAATGATCAATGAGATTCGTGAATACCCATGACGATACTAGGAGCGGCAGAATAAGGCGTGTTGGCTTCACCGCCCTTGAACGAGATGACATAATCGCACATTAAAGCCATAGATACACTAACCCGAAGTGGTTAGATGATAGGGCAAAAACCATACTGATGCCTCAGTTTCTAGGTATCGACTGTCTGGAATGCTGTATTGCTCCCGTTGATATGCTAGCTACGATGGATAAGCCAAGTCCGATAGCATCCTCTACATGGATACGAGCAGACATGGTTGCAAAGTGGAGGAGACAAGACACCATAGGTTGTCATCGTAAATGTATTCATGACATGGAGAGATCCAGCGGGTTGGATATTCCTCGACGGAGCCAGAGATCGTACTATTTGGCTCAACCCCGTGAATAGACCATCGTCAGTCGCGAGACAACAGCTGAGAGTCCATGATAGGTGCCGGTTTGTCGGACAGTTCTTCCACATAAAGGAGACGTCCACGCACATGCCTCCCGGATACGGCTTGAAAGACGGGGCTATTCATCGGCTGCGGAGAAGGACTGGCGTTTCATTTTCATGGCTCAAGATATGTCCTAATTCTACCTCCGCGAGCAAACATATGCTGAAATCTTGGACGCCATTACCCATCATAGAAAAGGAAGATCACCACCTCGCTGTTTTCCTCCATTCCAAATCCCACCCAATCATTTGCTAACCATCATCGCTCCATCTGCCACGCGCACTCACGTGCAAATTTAGCGGCCGAAACGGCGGGGGCGGTCGGCAACCTGCTGCTGGGAAACAGCCTGGATGTTGACGGGGATGGAGTCGAACTATATAGCAGTTAGCCAAACTGATCTGCCGGTGACCGAATCCTTGATGGAAATGTGCGTGCACGTACGCCAATGCTCTTCAGGAGATCCTTGGTGTCCTGATCAACATCGAGCTTGCCGGTCTCGCTGTTCTGGGTGAAGTCGAGAGCGGAGATCTCGGGGATGTACTGATCCTTGCGCTCACGCTCCTCCTCCTGAAGCTTGAAGGAGATACCGCGGACGGGGCCACGCTGGATACGGCGCATCCTGTTGTCGGGATTGGTTAGCGGTGGTCCTTCTTCGTTCCTTCCTTCATCGATATGGAATTGTGATTGGAGATGGTGTTCGTGTGGATGGATCAACGGGTGGGAAATTCATAGGAAAAATCATACAGGTGCGTGGTGTAACCGGCAATCTATCATTTTCCAAAGTCAGCCTTCTGTTGCTAAGTTGTCGCCCTGAGTCTCCCGTGGTGAATTACCTTGTTGCGCAGGCGCTTGCTGGCGATAATGGCGACCTCATCGCAGACCTTCTTGTTGACCTCGAAGTCCAGAGTGAGCTTGGGGTAGTAGCGCTCAATAACGACCTTGGCGGACCGCTTGACGGTCTTCGTGCGAACGCGACCCATGATGGCGAGGTGGTGGTTGTCGGGGAATCTGCGGTAGTATGTTCGAGATGGGAGAGGAGTATTTTTGGTGTGGTTGGAATTTCGCTGCCAAGCTCGCTTAATCTTTCGCTAGATAACACGTGAGTGGGGTCACCTGACTCTAGCCCCAGTGCGTCTTGCTTTATGATGATTAGTCATTTATGCCACACATGGATCAACCAGTAGCAGCCAGTAAGGCGGGCCGAACAGTATGCCGCTAACTGTTATACGTTAGTCAACTTTATACGTGCAACTTAAAACTTAACACGCGCCGACAACCCAATCTCAGCATCTTTGATGACAATCTCAAGGTTATAAGATGAACACAAGTGGCCGCAAACATGCATAGTCGAAATAGCATTTGGTAAAACTACGGCGTGGACACTCGTCGTCAGATCTCAGTATCGGGAACATTAAGTGAATCGTTCTGCATTGCTCTGATAGATCTTGAAATGAATGACATGTCCTGAATCCATACAAATTTCATTGTCTCATTCTTATAAGGCATTCGAAAAGACTTTTTGATCAAAATTCGAAGACTGCCCACTTTTTGGTAGTGTTTCGCCCAAGATAGAGTATATAGTATATGCGTATACTGCCTAATACGGAGTATCAGATAAGACTTTCTTTGAAGCGCCAGCCACCAAATCTCGCTCGTATTGTCATGTGACCATATCGTATTGGCATCGTCACAAGGCATCCATTCAATTAAAGCAACCCTCTCATCTATTCTCCGCTAATCACCACGGGCAAAATGGGAAGCTCATTATCAAGTATATGGCCCGGGGGTGCAGGCAAGAAAGGCTCCCGGGTAATTATGTGGGGGCCCGTATGTTTACCATCCCGGAGACCGTGAGCCTGGACCCACGAACTGACTTGCTTGCTCGATGTAGTGGTACTCTGGAAAGACTACATTTTTATACAACAGACTTTTGGTAGAATGCGCATCGGTGACCTTATACACACATGCTGATCGCATATAGGGCTGGGACAATATTACTCCGGTGTCTACGATAGGATTTAACGTCGAATCAGTAACATACGGGAACCAAGAACTCACTATTTGGGTATATAGATAACCATGGCGATTTCTTATCAAGACACCAGTCATTGATGCTTGGTCATTTAGGACGTGGGAGGTCGAGATAAGTTCCGGCCAGCGTGGAGGCAATACTTCTCCGATATCGACGCCATCATCTACATCGTCGACGCCACAGAAACAGACCGGCTAGACGCCGCAGCTTCCACACTGGAGTTTCTACTTGTTGACTTGAATGGGCGTCATGACAGGCCAAGCAGTGCCCCTGTTCTGGTATTTGCCAATAAGCAAGATCTGGATGGGGCGTTGTCCGCGGAGGAGGTATCAAAGGGGTTAAAATTAGGAGAAGTTCGTCACCGGAAATGGAAGGTTGTTGAGTCTTCCATAACACAGGGTTATGGTATCAGCGAAGGGATGAAATGGTTGATGGTTGGTGACCTTGCCTTCCTTGGCAGTTGCATGAAACTGATTGATGTTTGATGTCCAGGACGCACTTGAGTCCCCGGGATAGATAGCCTGGGTTTCTATCGAGATATCTATGTTCGTGTCCTGCGGCAGACTTGTCGCAGATAATTTGTCAGGGGTCTTATTGAAAGGCTGGTACCCCCATCGTAACATTTTATTATTTTCTTTCTTGGTCTGACGCCTTCAAACCCAAAGCTTGTCATATGCGGTGGACAAGAAAACTGCTATGTGAGGATTACATAAGGACCCAGGGACTGATGGGCTCAATCTGATAATGTCGGTAAAACAGAAGAATTATGAGAATGCTTGATGGTGCGCCGGCAAAATGTGAAAAGACCATTTCAAATCCACTGTCAAGCCGCACTATAGTATTCACCTTCTATGCCAAGTTGCCAACATCTCATCGGACGATCTAGTAGTTGGAAAATCCACAATTGCTTTAAACACCACGCACACCCATCCATCTGCCATCTAATCCAATCACACCACACCGCCTTGGACCCACCGTAAAACCTGCCAATGGACTCCAAATGAAAGGGCCGACAACAAAGAGGTCAAGAGGCACTCGTTACACCAAAAACGCCCCATTCATAACCATGTCTTTCGACCAATACACCACAGATTCCGACAACCAAGCAGAAGTCCCGCCTGATAGCTACATAGATCATGCCGCCTCCATCAAATACTGGAACGGGGTGCCCGCGACGTCAGGCGGCATGCTCGGTATGCTAGGCGACTACCCGTGGTACTCGCGCATCGACCTACGGGGGTCTCGGACGTTTCTCGCCAAGGCTCACCGGCTCGTGCCGTCCTGTAAGAAGGAGGGCAAGCTTCACCGGGGCGTCGATTGCGGGGCGGGCGTCGGGCGAATCACCGAGGGGTTCCTCGGCCAGGTCTGCGAGGTAATGGATGCCGTTGAGCCGGTGGAGAAGTTCGCGCGTGCGCTGAAAGAGCGTGTACCGAAAATGGAGTGCGCGGTTGAAGACGTCTACATTGTTGGTCTTGAGGGCTGGGTTCCGGAGAAGAAGTACGACTTGATCTGGATCCAGTTCTGCGTGGGGCATCTGACGGACGTGCAGTTGAGGGAGTGCTTTGTGCGCTGTAAAAATGCCTTGACGGAGACCGGGATGCTCGTGATTAAAGAGAACAACTCGACTGATGTGGACGGAGAAGACATCTACGATGAATTGGACAGCAGCGTTACCAGGACGGACGCCAAGTTACGGCAGCTGTTCAATGAAGCCGGGCTGAATTTGATTACGTCTGAGATCCAGGCGGGGTTTCCGAAGTCGTTCAATCTGTTCCCGGTCAAGATGTATGCCCTGCGCCCGAAGACTTGACCGGCTTTTTCTTTGGCAGCGATCAACCTTTACTCCGAACCTTGGCGGCGACTACATCAGATACGTGTTCATGACATGATCAACCACCAAATCCGGCTTGCTCCACGTTTTGAAGCTGTTTCAGTGTTTATATGCTCACAACACTACCATATCCACCCACCCATCAAGCGCTGCCCTAGGAACTGGCTGTGCAACCCTTTGTTACATGTGGCTCTGTTGACGAGTCAATGATCGGTTGCGATTTGGTACCATAAGATCAACAAAGGCGACGGGAGTCCAACAGCAATGACCAAATAATGAAGGAAGCGAAACGTTCTGTACATAAATGGTATACCCTGATGAGCTTTCTTCTCATGAGCGAAGGCCACCGAAAGACAATAGAAAAGGGTGAACGACAATTGCAAAGGTTCTCCTAGGCCAACCGAAGCACAACTTTACCCAAGGAAAGTGCCTATAGTTGTAGTATTACCAGGTTGGACTTGCCGGCAACAAAGCAACGCGCAGGAGCTTTGGATAAACGGGTGTGACGCAAGAGTACGCACGGGTCGGCTTCAATAAGGCGCAATTGTGTTACAATACATTCTTTTCATTCTTTCTTAGCATCAGTGATTCACCACGTGCCCTGATAGACAGACCCCTTGAGCAATCCCACCCGGTTTTATGGGTATCATCATCGATTTATACTCGGTGTTCGTCATTCTGACGCAAGTACGGAAACGGGATACTTGCCAGCCTTGGCGCCCGAGGCACCAAACAAGCGGAACCCTAATTCGGACGCATTGATTGATGTCATGCCATCGGGTCAAGGAACATCCCGGCTGAACCGATTAATCCTCTTATATAGTTTTCGGGGGCCCGTTCGCTCAATCTTTTAGAAAAGTAATTCGTGTCCACCTACGAGAAATTAATCCCTGATCCCCCGCCATGCCGTGCTCCAACATCGACCATGTGGAGATCTACGTCCCCGAGGACCAATTCGAGCACGTCATAGATTGGTACAAGGCCGCCCTGATGCCATTAAAATATCGGGAAGTGAAGCGATCGGCAACTCTCGCTGGGCTCGGTATCGCGGAGCCGAACTTTTGGATTAGGAAACGGGACGTGAAGAGCCCTGGGATGCATGTCGCGTTCATGGCACCAGGTAGGTAGTGATCTTCTGGGGAGATGGGGGGCGGGCACACTCAGTTGCTAACGTATCTAGATCATGAGACAGTATGGGCCTTCTACGACGCTGCGTTGGCGGTGGGTGGCGTGAGCAACGGCGCGCCTGGTTTGCGGCCGGAGAATAATGAGACGTATTTCGCTGCGTATGTGTTGGATCCTATGGGGAATAATATTGAAGTGGTAAGTATGCCCTTATATGTCGCGTTGGTATAGAGAGGAGAGTTAATGTGGTTTAGGTTGATCAAAGTTCGCATGAGGAGGAGTATCGCTAGGGTTTCTGTTTTGTACTCTAGCCAGGGACCGGTGATGTAAAAACGCTTCTATTCTCTGTCATCTAAGTCTAGACATTAGCTTAATTAATGCATGTTAGATCTATACAAAACCTGGTATCAACCTCGCGACCTAGGTCGATGATAGTCCTTGAGTTCTGATAACAGGACGGCGACTGTCAGATATCAGCACAATCTAGGGCAGGAGATCCATAACATCTTATGACCATGATAGACTAGAGAGGAGGAGAAGTATGCTTGAGAGGAAGTCAATGGCTTGTAGCTGACTCAATAAACTTTATGAGATTGATGAATGATATGATGGCAGGGGCTGAGATCAGGAGGCATGACTGGTAACCAAGACCAATCAGTCATAGACCATCCTCCAGTTAGTCAGATCAGTTCTCACGCCATCTCTCTCTCCATCTATTTTAATCACCATTGCCGAAGCTTAGCAACCTAATTCTTATACTTTTGCTAGATATAGTATCGCTTATGTCGTATGAATGACATGGCTATACACACTGCATCATCTATCGGCTAGAGTTGGAGAGATTGATCAGACTTCCTCTGTCTATATTCCCGATAACTACTACTGCGCGTTGATCTCTGCTAAGGGTTCCTATCGGTGTCATAACCAGACTAGCGCAAGGCATCATGTAATACTCATAAACAGAGAATGAAACCTCTCATAACATCCAAGATCTCAGGTGTATATCTAGCTTCGCCAAATAAGCAACCAAGGAAATAAAAGCCATGATGCACAACATTCTACATGAAGGGAAACAATAAGCTAAAGCACAGTCCGTCGCCGCTGGCCGATTCCGTCGATTTCTAGATAATTCAAAATCTCATTTCAGTACACACCCCATCGTCTTGGGGCTTGGATAATCCAGCCATCGACTGATTTGCTCCTAGAAGAACTTGAGTTTATGTTCTAATTGCCCCTTTATAAATCATTCATTAGAGAAGTTAAGTACATACGACCATAGGGTGTGGAGAACAGGGCTTCCCGTCCGCTCAGCCGTACTTAAGCCACACGCCGGCCGGTTAGTAGTATGGTGGGTGACCACATGCGAATCCCGGCTGTTGTATGTTTTTCTTTTTATATTGTTTTTTAAATCTGTGCATTGTTCTCGGGCGGAGGAGCTTGTCTCATTTTGAGACAGCGATTGTGCATCATTATCGGCCGACGTATGTAGACCGGCACCGTCATTACTAGTATTTTTCTAGAATACATGGGAAGTTCTAAACACATGGGTCCTGCACTTGCCGCGAATGCGTATTGTGATATTTTTGCATGCAACAACAAATCATAAAATTGACATAACAGTCGTGAGTAGTCGCTCCTAGAATTGGGAGCTTGTGGATGGAGAGAAGCTCGAATATAGTTCCTCAACAGTGAGAACAAGGATGAAGGTACATGTACAGGACATCTTTTTATCTTGTATAGTCTGATTAAATCTTCAAGATTAACTTTACACAGACGCAACTCGCTGAACAACGACAGCAGTCGCTGCACCACCGCCGTTGCAAACCGCCGCAACGCCGTATTCCCCGACCTTCAGCTGATGCACCAATGTAGTAAGTATCCTCGACCCGGAACTTCCCAGAGCATGGCCCAACGAGATGGCGCCTCCAAGCGGATTCACATTTGCGCCTTCAAGGCCGAGAATCTGGATGTCAAGTTAGCAAGGAGGTTAACATCTGGAAAGACTCGGCAAAACCCACCTGCTCATTCGCCTTGATAACAGAAGCAAAGGCTTCGTTAAACTCCCACACAGCAACGTCTTCTTTCCTGAGACCGGCTCTCTCTAGAGCGACACGAACTGCTTTAGCGGGGGCAATCGGAAAATCAACCGGGTCCAGGGCCGCGTCGGCCGTACTGACGATCCGCGAAAGAACTCGACTATCTTGACCGTACTGCTGGGCAATTGCACGATCCCCCAAAACCAAAGCACTGGCGCCATCATTGAAAGTGGATGAGTTGGCAGCGGTGACCGTGCCGGTGCCATCCCTCACGAACGCCGGCTTCAGCGTCGCCACCTTCTTTTCATCGAGTTTCTCAAAACCTTCATCCCGCTTGACCACAGTTTCCCCCTTCCGGTTCTTCACCGTAACCGGAACAATTTCATCCTGGAATTTTCCTTCGGCCCAGGCCTTCTGCGCCCTCAAGAAGCTGCGAATCGCATACTCATCCTGCGCCTCCCTGGAGATATTGAACTTTTTCGCAGTGAGATCCGCACAGCTCCCCATATGGATCTGATTATACACATCCCACAAGCCATCCTTGATCAACCCATCCTGCAGTTTCAAATCGCCCGTCGAGCCCGCCGCATCCCGCGCCAGATAATACGGCACACTCGACATATTCTCCATACCACCGGCAACCTGTGCCTGGGACAGCCCGAGTTGAATGTTCTGCGCAGCGAGCGCTACAGCCTTCAGTCCCGAGGCGCAAACCTTGTTAATAGTGACCGCCTCCGTTGCCGTCGGCAGGCCGGCGAATATGGCTGCTTGGCGCGCGGGTGCCTGCCCGTTCGAGGCCTGCATCACGTTGCCCATGTAAACATCTGTGATGCGCGACGCGGGCACCTTCGACTTCGAAACGGCGTCTTTGATAGCGTGGGCGCCGAGTTGGGGCGCCGGGACACTGGCGAGGGAGCCTTTGAATCGCGCGGTGGGGGTCCGCGATGCGCTGATGATGTAGACATCTTGAATTTGGGACGGCTGGGGACGTGCTGGCGCGGTGTGTATATGGTTGCTCACTTGTGTTAAGCGGTCGGATGCAGTTTTTGATGCCATGTTGGAGGTTGGTTGACGCTTGTGGCGGTCTATCTCTGGATATGTCGGTAGTGCCCTCTTAATCGAAGTTTAATCAATTGTCTATCAAACGACAAGAGCCGTCTCTGACACAAACACTGAATAGAGTAGTAAAAGACAGTTTGGAAAGAGACAAATGTCGGATGTCGTCATGTATATAAGTGCAAGTCCAGATGAATTACCGAGGCAAATGGAACGCGTGGCGGGTGAAAGTGGGCCGCCCCGGTTTCCGGACTTGGCGATGTTTTTCTTTAACCTTTTTGGATTGATTCATGTCTTTGACCATTTTCTAGAAACGATAAACCGGGCTTTTCTTGATTAACATAGACATTGACAAGCGTTTGGCATGGGAATGCGCTAGATGAAACAAGATACCGCGTAACCCAGTATCGAACCTGAGGTAGCAAAGGACTCTTTCGCAATGATCATCAACCCGTACCGTCCTTCATATCCTCAGATTGAATCGTATGAGTACCAGAAGAACATATCCCTGGTCTTAGGCAAGCCCTCCAATCTTCTAATCTCCTTGGGTACGTTATTCGCCATCCTCCCCATCTTTCTTCACATACACCAGCCACCCCGAAAACGGTTGAATTGAATTGGGTCCGTCTCCCTCGGTTGCCGGAGGAGTACAAATGGTCTGCTTTTTCGTACGTCTTGGGATCAAATACGAAACCCAAGAACGTCTGCTGCGTTCTTCTATGATCGGGGTTATTGGGGCCTTCGACATGGCTTGGATACCAAACAGTCCAGCCAACATCACCGTCTTCGTGATTCTCCCATCATCGTCGATAGTAAGAGGCACGGAGGCGAATCCAGCTGGGATTTTTTCTATGTCGACTTCGCGTGCCAAGGCATCATCGAGTCCCAGCTCTGTGTTGCGCGCCTTGAATTCAGGCGAACCGGTGGGTTCAATCGTGTCGCCGAAGTAGAGACGATTTCCTTCCTCACTCCAAAAACAAAAGACAGAAATCCATCCAGTGAGATAGTCGATCCCACTTCCTTCTGAACGGTGTGCACATCGGCCCCAGAAATTCCTTACAGTGATTGAATCGGGACTGTCAAAGGTCAAGACAAAGTGATTGAGTACCGGGCGGAGAAGCTGGGCGAATCGTGCTGGCTCATCGCCTAGCTGGTATAACTTGTCGAGTTTCTTCACGAGGTCCGCCCAGTCCTTTCGCTCCCCCAGTAAGGTGGCAGACGGGATGCCACATGTAATCGCCACGAAGTACGAGAAATACTTCTGCATGGCCCCCATCATCAGAACAGCCGCGACCACCTTGTCTGACTCGGTGGTGGTGCTGAAGTCAGGCATGATCCAACTTCTGAATTCCTTATCCACGACTTTCTCCTCAATGAGTTTGGTCATTCGCAGTGCCATGTTACCGAAATCGAGGCCACCATCTCCACCGGTGTCTTCTAGCTCCTGCTGTCCCTCGTGGGAAACAAAGAAGGAACGTAGATCCTCTGCATGTGCGTTGATATAGAAACTCAGCTGCGTTATGATGGAGAACCATACGTCTTCCGGTCGGATTGTCAGGTTGTGATGATGGCTATAGGCCTGGAATACTGCCCAGACAAAACCATTTCGCGAGGCGGAGACATGGGACGTGTCGAAAAGACTGCTGTGAAACGAGCTTTCTAGTACACCTTGGCTATTTTTATACTCTTGCGGGCAAGATTCTTTCAAGAGACCTTCAGCTGTGGAAACCTTGGGATCTTCCCATTTATCCGGCGGATGCGCCGCTACTTTGAGCGTTACTGGCATGTTGTTCGAATTGGTGAGTTTTGTCTCAAGAGATATTCTTGACACCAATAGTGACCGGGAAAGGGGATACTAGGTATGGACATGCGCGGGGTACGTCTTATAACGTGCACTGTCAGGGGGCCGTGTCAAAAACAACGAGGCAGTGAGAGGCTGGGCACATGCCGATCACAGAATGGGATTAATCAGGGAGAGACACAGCCTACCACCAATTCTAGAGCGGTCATACAGAAAATTATCCAAGTGCAGGATGGCACACCCGCATCAAGCGGGTTTCAGACTCTAACTGGATATTATAACACGCAGTTGGGCTCTTGTCCATAATATATGCGTCTAGCAGACCCGAGGATGATCAAGAGCACGTAAGATATTCCAAGTATATTAAAATCAAGGCTAGTAAAAGAATAGGTACAATCTATAGACTTTGAACAGAAAAGAACCACGCCTCAGGCCTTAGCACCCCTTGACTTGCAGGGCCACCTAACCCGCCGTTCTGCGCGCACATAGAGATTGTTGGGCCGGATCAGCTGGAACATCGGATCATACTCAATCGGACCGTCGCCTTCCCGCGAGAACTTGTAGCGGTAGATAAGCTTAGGAAGGAAGACTTTGATCTCCTGAAGTGCGAAGTTAAACCCAATACACATACGGGGACCCATCGCGAAAGGTATGTATGCCGCCTTGTGCCGGGATTTCACTTCTTCACTATCCCAGCGATCAGGGTTAAACCGAGCAGGATTATCCCACAGATCAGGGTGGTTGTGAATATGGTGAAGTGCGGGAATAACAACCGCGTCTTTGGGCAGCCTATAGCCCCCTGGTAGAATCATGTCCACCTTGGTCGTTCGTCCGGGTTGGAAGGAGGGATTGTGACGACGCTGAGTTTCCTTGATATATTTATCAAGAAACTCCAATTTCTCCGTGAAGTCGGCTGTCATTTGAGTGTTCTCGTCAAACCCATGGTCGATCAACTCTTGCAGGAGGCGCTCCTGCATGCCCTCGTATGTGCAGAGGCCGTAGATGAGCCAAGAGAGGAGCGAGCTAGTAGTGGTAAAACCAGCACCAGTGGCCACGACCAGAGCCCAGACAACACTGGACTTTGGCAGCTTTTCGCCCTTGTTATCGGTGGCGCGAACGGCATAATCTACCAGAAGTTAGCCTGACTATTGACTAGGCATGGGGGTAGCAAGTACTGCTAGAAATCAATGCTTGATACTTACCGACCATGTTGCTCGCTGTCAAGGCAGCGTCTTGTAACGGAAGATCTTCCACGCCTCCTCTTGACGCCTTTTGAATCGACTCCTCTACCATTTCTTCGATGCGAATCTTCAACGTTTTGAGTCGCTTGGGATCACCAAATGGCAAGGAGCTGTACCAGTCGCCCTTCGATGTGACCTTTTTATTGAGGGAAAGAACCTCAGCAATGTTATGAACCATTTCATGGATAGGAGAATCCGGCACGTTGAAATGTTGAAAGTCCAGTCCAAGCGTAAGCTTGCCAACTGCTTGAGAGCCGAGCTTGAGCATGTACATATAGACATTCCAAGCTTCGTCCTTTTCATCAAGCTGATCGAACACTTTGAACGAATCCTCCACTGTCTGTTGCATGGTTGGGGCGTAGTGTCTAACAGCCTTAGGGCCCAAGGCTGGAGGCAAGAATTTGTGAGCAACCTTCCATTCTGGCGTGTCAGTGTCACCGAGGAAAACACCAGCGGCGGGAGTTTTGAGCGCGTGAAGTGGGTGGGATTCATTGATCTTCTTCGTGAAGAAATCGGATTCCGCGAAAGCGATGGCAGCAATTTCCGGGTCATTGGTTTGGTAGGTGATGCGGCCTTGGTTGCTTGTTCTGATAATCGGCCCATATTTCTCGAAAAGACGTTGGTGGTTTCCAAGATGATCAGGAAAAACTTCGAAGAAGGTCCCGAAAAAAGGTAGTTCGTTCGGAGAGGGTGGATCGCGAACCGCATGTCCATCGATTGTCAGTGAGATGGGAGCTGTTGCTGCGCAAATTTCCGAGACCTCTGTGAGGACAGCATCCGGTCCTTGGAAGCCAATCCCTGTATACCACTTGTCAGGAAACCGGAAGCAATGAAGGGTAGGAACTAGAAACTACCTACCATTTGGTTCGACAATGGCAAAATGAGCAGCAATCAGGAATTTCAAGCTGTCAAAGGTCTGAGATGCATCCACCTCAATCTCTTTGGCGGTCGATGGACTTTGTCCGAATAGGTAGAATGCTTGGAGAGGCATGGCAGGCGTTTGGGTTATCCACTCGTTGTGATGATAGCGATCGAATCGACAACATGGCACTTTGTGTATCCTGGCCTTTATATATACTGTTTAACCTAAAAACCCACAGATAATCCATGGCGCCCTGACCCACCCTGCTTTGCCTCTCGGTTCAACAAGTTTTGATGTGATACCAAAAATGCTGCCTCTCTACGGCATCTATTTATCCTCGGAAATTTCGAAAGTTCCGACTCATAATATATCCGAGGTCCCGAGTTTAGTCGACCAGGGGTGCGACATGGGCCAATCACAGAATCGGCAAAGGCCGAATACACATCAAATTTCCTCGGCTTCCCGGAGATGAAAAGATTCCGGCCTTGTTTTGCCTTGGGGCTACCATATAAATCCGTGACATACAAATATAGCAACATGTCGCGATCCACACGGATTCTCGTATTAAAACCCCAAAAGAATCCTGCCTGTCTACTCATCTACTCCATTACGTGTGTGCGAGCTTGATTATAGCTAGTGTTACCCTGACGATTGTGATCCTCGACCAACATGCAAGAATTCACAGCGGAAGACGTTGGTGCTCACAAGAGCAAGACCGACTTGTGGGTTACTATTCACGGAAAGGGTAAGCATATAACAGTCATTATACCTCCTTTTTTGTGTTAAAAAAAAACTTGCTAAATCCTTATGCTGTTACGATAGTCTACGATGTCTCGGAATATGTCAAAGATCATCCCGGTGGTGCCGACGTCCTAGTTGATGTTGCTGGGCAAGACGCAACGGCCGCGTACGAAGATGTGGGGCATTCGGAAGACGCAAACGAGATTCTGGAGTCTTTCCTGATCGGAACATTGAAAGACGCCGTCGAATACAAGGCTCGTCAAACCGTGAGGGTTTTACAGTCTTCCCCAGCACAGCCGCCTCCAAAAGCCAGTTCAGGCGCTGTCCGCACCCTGGGTCTCACCACGGGCTCGCTACTTTCGCTTTACCTTGCTTCCAACACCATCAGGAAATACCTGAATACCCATGACTTCTCCAAGATGCTTCCGGGGCTCGACAAGCTGTCGTCTCTCAAGCTCTCTGGCGTCTCCCTCCCCCAGGGTGGTGGTTTCGTCAACGGAGTTGCCGTCACTGCCTGTGCCTGTGCCATACTGGGTAGTATCATAGCGTCCCGCCTCTCGAAACTCACGCAAATTGAGTCGGGCTTCACGAAATATCCTCCTCACATCAAGAGGAACCCGATCTACAAGCAAGACCCGCACTTGATCCCCGGCTTTCTCCAACCCAAGGAGTATAGGCCCTTGCCCCTAGTGGCAAAAGAGGCCCTATCTCCTAATGTATACCGCTTTGTGTTCCAGCTCCCTCGCAAGAGTGATGTCATTGGCCTTCCCATCGGCCAACACGTCGCTATCAAAGCAACGATCGACGGTCAAACAGTGTCCCGATCCTATACTCCGACATCAAATAATCTCGACCTGGGCACGCTGGAGCTCGTGATCAAGTGTTATCCGGATGGCCTACTCACCGGAAAGTACCTTGCCAATCTCGAAGTTGGTGACAAGGTTTTATTCCGGGGCCCCAAGGGCGCAATGCGCTACAAAAAGGGCCTCTGTAAGAAGATTGGGATGATTGCTGGCGGCACTGGTATTACCCCGATGTATCAGTTGATTCGAGCGATCTGCGAAAACGATAGGGATACCACGGAAATCCATCTGATCTACGCAAACCGCTCAGAAGAGGACATTCTTTTGCGAGAGGAGCTCGAAGAATTTGCTTCCTCATATCCCAAAACTCTCAAGGTTTGGTACATGTTGGATCATCCGCCCCAGGACTGGAAGTACGGCAAGGGATATGTCACGAAAGATGTCATGCGCAAGATCCTCCCTGCACCTTCGCCGGAAACTCGGATAATGCTTTGCGGTCCTCCTGGCATGGTCAATGCATCGAAGAAGGGGTTGGCTGAGCTCGGGTTCCAAGCCCCAGGCCCAGTAGCCAAAATGACGGATCAAATTTTCTGTTTCTAGACATCGAAGAGTCCTGTTTTTCTTTCTTTACTTCCTTTGAAGCTCGGAGGCGAAGTGGGTTTTGACTTTGGTTTTGGTTTGATTTCTCCTTTTTTCTTCTTTGGCTGGGAAGCATTTTCCATTGTACTCTATTTTTCACCCCCTTATATTACTCTGAATAGACTGCTTTTGTTTGTTAGCCTACTACATAATTTTAACTCTCCGGGCAGACACTACCCGTTGTGGTATAAACTTCTTCACTGGTGGACCAGAAGTACTAGATAGACATGTTGTATGTGATAATCTCACTCCTAATGACAATCAGATCCCTTTGGAGTCAGTGTTCACTGTGGGTGCAAATGGTTATAAGATATCTTTTTACAATTTATCATTGCGGCAACTTCCCCTGTACCCAGTTCAGTTTTTTCCTTTGTTCTTTGTTTTGCGTTAAGACTTTGAGTATTACTATACAATAGTCTTTCTCGGTAAGAAAAAGGGGGGGAATTTTGTCAATAGCATCCATCACCATGTCTAAGTAGTTTCGGGAGCATTCCAAGCCAATAGAGCATGGGCATGTACGCCCCCTTGAAAAGTGGATCGTGAAGATATTTCTTCCTGACCAATTAGTGCTAGGTCATTGTTTCAATCTCTATGATAAGGATCATTGGTTTAACAACCAAACATAGATAGCGAAGATTACCACTAGTTAGTGGCCGCGGCACCGGTGATTGTTTGATGGGAGGGTGAATCGGTCTAGATAAATTGCTTCCGAGGAAGCTTTGGTGGATTCGGCTGACCGACTGATTCACCCGCCGATCCGGAACCCGAGCCGTGTTGGTGGATCCCTGCCAGTCTCTCGGGCTGCCGAAAGATATCGGCATTGCGGCAAGCTGGGCAATCGGAGCTGGTGTCTTGAAGCTTATCAGTTTCGCCACGCTAGATTTACCCTTGACAGTTGACATAGTCCACGCTGTCACGGTGGGCCGAGATCTGCTGTGCTCCACCATGTTCTAGGCATTCTTTCCACGCGGCCACGCCATTACCCATCCACCCAGTGGATTTATCGGTCTGAAAATACCGAGGACACTCCGATCTGAGCAGGCTCAACAATGGTGTGGAATATTTCGGAGGCAACGACCTCCGAATATATCCTCGGATGATACAAAGATGCCACCAATAATTCGGGTCGTGGCTTGGTTGTTTCTTTCCGCTGTCGAGCCTCATCCCGAGGTATGCCTTCACAAAGCTGTAACAGCAGTGACTCCCACCAAGTCAATGGGAGATTTATAAAACCACTTCTGCCCCCGTGGTTCTGGTGATCTAGAACTTCGAAGTATCTTACTTTCTTAGTACACATATCACCTGACTGGATTGGCCAAAGACTTAAACATACCATCTATTTCTGAGAATTCATACTGCCTTACGATAATACACCATATACTATTCTATCAATTTGCAAACATGACCCCAGAATGGCAGCCAGCCAAGGACTATCGGGAGCGTCCCGTTGCCGTTCTCGGCGCAGGTGTTTTGGGCCGTCGAGTCGGTACGTAAACAATTTCTAGTTGACACTGACACACAACATTGCATCAGCTAACCAATATCTCCGAACGCACAGCCTGCATTTGGGCATCGGCAGGGTATAATGTCCAAGTCCGTGACCCGAGCTCGGAACAACGCACAGATTGCGTCAACTACGTGAAACAGAATGTAGCTTCGTACGCCGAGCACACAGGAGCGGAGCCCGGCGAGATTACAGTATTCGAAGATTTGGCGCAGGCGGTTAACGATGCCTGGCTTGTTATCGAAGCCGTCCCCGAGAAACTCCCGCTGAAAATCGACACCTTCGCTGAGCTTGAGAAGTTGGCTCCCAATGACTGCATCTTAGCGACCAACTCTTCTTCGTATAAGTCCTCGGAGATGCTCGACAAGGTGTCTGCTGTCGCTAAGCCCCGTATCCTGAACATGCACTATTACATGCCGCCGCAAGTCATGGTTGTGGAACTGATGACTGACGGCTATACTTATCCATCAATCCTCCAGTTCCTGGTCGAGCGCCTGAAGGAAGCAGCCACTAAGCCATATGTTGCCAGGAAGGAGTCAACGGGGTTTATCTTTAACCGCATGTGGGCTGCGGTCAAGCGAGAGGCTTTGACGATTATTGCCGAGGATGTTTCGACGCCGGAGGAGATTGATTCGATGTGGACGGAGATGTTTATCAAGCCAGCAACTTTGCCTTGCAAGACCATGGACGGTATGTGGTTTCCCTCTTGCCATTCTCTGCCCCATCCACCCTCACTATTCTACTCGTTTGTGTAGTGTGCACACTTCGACTTCTGTAGTTCTCCTGTTTTTGTTCCAGTTCTAACTCACTGTTCCAATAGCTGTCGGTCTCGACACGGTGTCTTTGATCGAAAAACACTATATTGCGGAGCGAGGCCTCTCTGCCGACAAAACGGTCGACTTCCTCCAAGCCAATTACCTGGATCAAGGCAAACTCGGATCCAAGTGTCCCCATGGCGGGCTTTACCCACCCGCTGAAGTCACCAACGGCGATTCTAAGAGCGCCAACCTTTTGGTTCTCGACATTGGCTTGTCAGCTAAGCAACCGAGCTTGACAGCCGGCGAGGTCCTCGAAATTTCGCCGGCCGGGCGTGTGCAGCGGGTTCTCGCCAAAGGGCAAGCCCTGCCGGATGGAATTGCCGTCGACCCCAACAGCAAGCGCATGTTCTGGACCGCAATGGGTATTCCCGGCAAGCAAGACGGGGCCGTGTTGTCAGCCAACTTGGATGGGACTGACACTCAGACGATCGTCCCACCGGGAACTATTAATACGCCCAAGCAGATGACCATGGACACGACGTCACAGAAACTCTACATCTCTGACCGCGAGGGGTGTCGTGTCTTCCGCTGCAATTTCGACGGGTCAGAGCTGGAAGTTCTGGTCCAAGCCGGCGGCGAAACAAAGGGGACCTCGGACGCTGCTCAGACTTCCATGAACTGGTGCGTTGGTATTACGGTTGCGCCACAGTTTGGCAAGTTCTACTGGACTCAGAAAGGCCCTTCAAAGAGTGGACAGGGGCGTATTTTCTCTGCAAATATCGTGACCCCCGAGGGCCAGTCAGCCTCCGACAGGGACGACATTCGGTGTATTCTGGGAGGACTGCCGGAACCCATTGATCTGGAAGTTGATGAAGAGTCCAAAGCCCTTTATTGGACTGATCGTGGGGAGTTGCCCATCGGTAACTCCCTGAATAGATTGCATCTTGATCAATTCGGTCATCCCTTGCCGAGCATGTCTCCTCTGGGCTACGAATTGCTTACCCGGAATCTGCACGAAGCCATTGGATTGAAGTTGGACTTGCCAAACAACAGCATCTACCTGACCGACCTGGGTGGTCATCTCTATCGGTGTGACCATGACGGGAAAAACAAGGTGACCTTGCTGGCCGATGAAAACCGGGCTTTCACGGGGATCGCCCTGGCTTGATCGACGAGTCGGCCGAGCTGTCTTGGGATGTTTTTGGGATTTCTACATCTTATCAACCGCTTTATCTTTTGTATAGTTTTAGAACATAGAGTTAATTTTCGGGACTTGATACTTGTTTTTCAGCATGCATGGCCTTCCCTTTAATGCGCAAATTCTGTATTGCTGTAGCTTATGTACTTGCATAGAAGGATATTTAGAAGGTTTTCAGAGTCTTCGTCGGAGTGTGTTATCTCCAGTAGACTAGACAATCATGTTTCTTGTGTTTGATGTCAAGCATCATGTTGGAGTGCTGTCATGATTTTTTATCTTCCAGTACTTAATTCATCTCAATCTACTGCGGTAATAATATTCACTTTACCAAGCCTAATTTTTCTAAATTCAGAACCATGCAGAGTGTGATATTGATATGACGTCATGATATTGGTTGAAGCTTTGGACAGTATGAACGATAAACCTTAGTGTTAGGATGTGCAGAACAACAAGAAATCCTCAGAGAATTGACTTTAAGCTAATTACCTACTTATCATCTTTTTACTGGATCCAAGATTGGATGACATCTGTTCGTGGGTCCCAACAAAAAAAAAACAAATGTCGATCCAAATGCCGAGGCTAAATAGAGCCGTACTTTTTTTTTTCCGAGGTGGCGGTGGGCTGATTGTCACCCTCTCCCGTTCCTTTTTCTCCTCGGCGTTTTTCGTAGTTCAGACACCAACTGCAATAACAATGTCCATGTCACCAGCCCCTGCAGCCAAGCCGGTTCGACGCCATCGCTCCGCAGTAGCCTGTGACGTCTGTCGTCAACGCAAAGTCCGATGCAGTCTGTCTGTAACAGGCGCGCCCTGTAGCGGCTGTGTCCAGGATGGCACGAATTGCCTTGTTAGTTCAAGGAAAACCAGAGGGTGGGTCTAGATGACCCTGGATCCTCGGCGTCGAGATATTGACGAATGGTTCTATCCTAGAGTCCGCAAATCGCAGAAACAGGCAACTCGTGGCCCTCGCGAGATTCCGTCCGAGGCGCGTACGCTCACTATCCATGATAATCCTAGTATCATGAGTCGCGCGGCCTCCCAACAGCCCTCGACACCTCTTGAAAACCGCTCGAGTTATGAGCGCGATGATCTCGAGGAAGAGAGAAACGGATTTGAAATCGCTGCTGCTGCACTGGGACAACCGGGATCAAATGACGGAGTTCGTTTCTATACGGGTAATGAGCACGATACTACCGCCACAATGTCTTAAGCCATACTAATCCCCGGTACAGGCGAACAGACAGGTTTCACATCTACATTGGATGCGTGCTCGTCGGAAACGACACTTCCACGTCACTTGCTCTTACCGTCGAGGCCGCGGGAATACCTCGCAGAGGAAGATCGAGAATACCTGCGGATCAAGGGCGTTTTCACTTTACCTGGGAATGATGCCTGCTCGGAACTTCTCCGTTGCTACATCTCCCACGTCCACCCGGTCATGCCGATCATTGAAATCGACCAAGTTTTGGATTACTATCATTCTGGACGTCTACGAGAATATAACACCCTTCTCTTGTGGAGCGTGTTCTTTGCTGCAGTCAACGTAAGCTTCCCCGTTGGCTTACCTGGACTGGCCCGTGGCTGACACCATGTCAGTTCGTTCCACAGTCCATTTATGAGAAAGAAGGATACAAGTCGCGCAAGGAGATGAAAAGTGCTCTGTATTCTCGAGCTAAGGTAAGTGGCTAAAACGTTGGCTACGGACACGTTCGCCGGTATTGGATCGCCGAGCTAAGTGGCCCACAATATCAGTGCATGTACAACAATGGTGGGGAACGAGAGAAGATCATCCTTCTGCAATCCTCGCTTCTGTTGGGATTCTGGCATTCCGAGCTGGACGAGCACATGCAGCCCTGGTACTGGACCGGCATCGCAATTACACTATGCCAAGTCCTTGGATTACATCGGAACCCTGACGGTTCAAGGTATAATTCTTCCGTCACAGATCGACAGCGAATGTTATGGCGACGTCTATGGTGGAGTTGCTTTTTCCGAGACCGATGGCTTGGTCTCACTTTTGGAAGGCCGTTTCGAATCAACATACAGGACTGCGACACTCCCTGGCCGCTGGTCTCTGACTTGATGTATGACGTTGAGGCGACCCCCGAAGTTCTCTATGCAGCTTTTGTGCCCAGTGAAATGCCGCGGCTGGCCCGGTACTGGGTGACATTGGTCGAGCTAAGCAAGCTACTGGGTGACTGTATCGTCATGAATTACCAAATCCAGAGGCCCAAACCATCCGTCGAGGACGTTGAGGCTCTGGAGCAAAGGCTGCTTCAGTGCGAGCTGCCTGATCAATATGAAAAGGGCTTGACTCGACTGGCAACATTCTACTGCTGCCACGTTCACTTGCACTACCAGTACATTCCCTTTCCCCTCCAACTAGTACGGGAGTCTGTCCTAACGTCAACCTTTCAGGGCACTATTGATCACCTTCTACCGGCCCTTCTCGGCAGAGATACCCCACATTGTCCCATCCAACAACCAGGAGGACTGGTGCCTCCGAATGCGACGCAAAACCGACGCGGCCGCTTCGCAGACCAATGCGATTCTCGAGACGCTGGCTCAAAATAAACTGCTCGGCTTTGCGGGGCCCATGACGTACGTATCGAGTTTACCCTATCGCCGACCGATCGGTATCACCTAGAAGTACAATATGCACTTTTTACTAAATCCTGTTCGATTTGACCAGACCTCCACTTTTAGTCCCTGCAATGCAGACGCATCTATACCTCTGTCGATCTGCAGACCCGCTCTCCCAGACCTTTAGACTGAATAAGATCGACACGTTGATGCTCGTCATGGAGGAGCTTCAGAAAACTTACACGGCGGCTTCAGTCTACCGTGGAATCTTCATGAAAGCCATCCAACAAATCTTTCCCAATTACCGACCGAGCGCATTGCTCTCGACTCACACTGCTAGTCCCGATCGGACAAGTACAGGCCTACCGGGTTCTGACAATCCAGAGCCTGTTGCTGGTCATGTAGGCCAAGACACCGACCAGGGAATGGAAACATCCTTCAATGATGACTTCGTGGACGCCCTCATGGATCAGGCTTCGCTTTTCAATCTCTGGGAGTATTGGAACGGCGTTTAATCTCTTTCTGAATGGATTGAGCATCGGGTATTCGCGCTCACTGCCAGACACCTCGGGGGATGGGTACACTCAGTCGCCGGCAAGTTATTGCCTTCTTCTTGCGACGTCTCGAGTGGGTCTCTCGCTACGTACTCGTTTAAAATCGCGAGTTGGCACAGCGTCCTTTTCTCTATAAATTCTTTGGTCAGTCATATTTATTTATTATATATGTATCTTTCTTGAAAAATGAAAGAAAGAAATATCATAAGTAATTTATATATGAACTCAGTCCACTTTATCTTAAAAGAAGTTCAAAGTCCGTCGTGTGAATAGTTGACGTTTTGCTTTTGGCCTACGCTTGCCCTCGCGTTGCTTGTGATGGGTTCATGGTAAGTTACAGCTGACCAGCATGAATTGAAAATTATCATTAACCTTAAGGAAAGACAGGGATGATAAAGGTCTCTAGGATGGCACATGGGCGGCGCCAACCGCAATGAAGCTGCTTCACTGCAATAACACATCCAAGGCCTGCTGTGTAGCAGCAGACGGTGAACACAATCAGGCCCCAGTACTGCCCACCACAACGGGACAGGATCTCAGCCGCGATCGGGACACCAGTCAGGGTGCTAGATGCGACCATGTTAGCAGCTCAATGTTGATCCGCCTCGCATGGAGTGCAGCTTACTTGAGACTCACGACCGTGTACGCAGTGGCATAATAACGGCCATATTGCTCCGTCTTGAACAGCTGCCCAATGCATGCCGGCGTCAGACTGATGTTACTCTCACTGGCAAAGCCAAAGAGAACGCAATATACAACCAACGACGGCACATTGGCCCCTGCCGGTAGCCAGAGACACATATTACAAACTAGGCACAGAGCAACAGTGATAATCAGCGTGTTGAAGCGACCAATCCAGTCCGCCAGATAGCCCGGGTTCAGCCGTCCGAAAAAGGACCCGGCGTTTAGAATGGCTAGGAGCTGGTAGCATAAAGCCGAGGGAAGGCCTTGCGCTGCGGCGTAGGAGGAAATATACGTGATGGGAATGAAGAGCCCCCATTCAATGAAGAAGATAGCGAGTGTGGTAAGTGTGAACTCCTTATCACGGAAGATCCGGAGATCAGGTAGCACGTTGTCTCGGGAAAATGGCTTCGACGGGAGCCGGGTCACTCGTCGAGTGGTGATTTCCTCCTTTCAATTTTTGTAACTAAATTAGCAGAATGATATTGGAAGTTGGAAAGTCAATGGGACATACTGACTACATATGCAACGGAGTGCAGGTAGAATATCTTATCACAATTCTATAAGTCATATCCGCAAGTATAGAAATCTAACAATAAGCCATGAAGTGCAGACTTTGCAGCAACTGAAAACAAACCAAGTTCGAAGCACTTCCTGTGATGATCCCCACGAACATAAACAAGATTATAGTTTAGACCCGTATGAATGGCAACCCAACAGGCCACAAGGTCTCCTACAGAGAGTTTCGCAGGTGAACCCACCCCGCGAAGACAATCACACCCACATTCGCAGCAATCTGTATTTTCTCCAAGGGAATACCCCCTATAGCGATAATCGGTAGGATGAGCACCACCCATGCCACCGCTATCGACGCCATATGCTCGTATAAGCGCAGCAATCCGTGGGACCCAAGTGCGAACCGTTCCGCCAGAAGATGCCGGAGAAGCGCAACTTGGTACCCCCTCTGTTGAGAGGGTTGGAGGTGACCGTATACAAACCTATCCATAAATGTGGGGTTGGGGGTCTTCCGTAGCCATCGTACCAAAACCTGTCGAACTCGAGTCTTCCAGTCTAGACCTGCGTTGATGGTGGCAGTGTAACCCGGCTTCGTGGAGGTAGCTATCTCTTGAAGCTGTGTAGAATTAGAGGCCCATAGACGTTGCGATTGCTGATCAGCTGGTACTGGGAAATGGCTGAGCTCGGTATCCATGCCTACACTGGCATCTTCGTACCGCATGATACTGGTGTAGAAGCTTGGACCCTGAACGCGCACTGTGACTGTCGTTGTGTCACCCGGCTCTGGTAACTCACGACTAACTCCGCGCGAATGGAATGTCTCAGACACTAGCCAATGCGACTTTGATGGATGGTATAGGACAGTCAGAGGGCATGGATATTGAGCCACAGTGTGGGCGAGAAAGAGACGAAAGAACGGCTCCAGAGACCTAGGTGCTTCAAAGGTTAGTCTTTTTTTTTTTTTGTTTTGCTTGATGAGCACCCACCGCTCAATGCTCGTTTCCTCCCGTGGGATACTAGTATTCTTCACTTCAGGCTTTCTGAGATATGCGAGGTTCCCCCGCAATCGAACTCGAAGTGCTTCGTATATAATCCGCTGCTTGGAAAGAGCACCTATATAGCCCCAGCCGCAAATGAAACGAATCAAACTCCACGGCGATGCAGACAACGGATCCAAGGGGTTGCCCCAGGAATACAGACGACTGATAATTTTTGGACGGCCATCGGGGGCATACAGGGTGGTGTTGGTATGCAGAGGGCCTTTTGTCCCAGAGTGCGGATTACAAGGGTCACTGCAAGTTGTTGTAAAGTATCCTTCAACTTTCTCAAAAGGGGAGAGAAAAAAGTCCTTGTCCCAGTTGCTCTTGTACATTTTGTACTTTGAGATTGAGGGTGCGAATTTCGCATTCGACGGCCCCTCTGTGTGATTAAACGCGGTGATCTTATGCGCCTCATTCGTGGCGCTTCCGCCTTCCAGTCTCATGAAGATAGCTTTACGTTCGCCGAATGAATTGTTGACTTCCATCACCATGGCGTCCAGTTCTCGCGTGGGAGAATAGAGCAACCACCAGGACACCGCATTGCGAGTAAACCAAAGGAATTTGGGAATGCTGATCATGTAGGCGTATGGCCATTGCTCGGGGTCTTCACCCTACGCCTTGTTAGTAGACTTTTTAGAGGCATCGATGGGGCACGTAAACCTACCCGAGACCGTAGATAGCGATGCAACTTGCCCTCTAACCCTTGCGGATGGTTTCCAGGCTCCAAGTAGTACCTCTGGTCTATCTTGAACCAGCACTTAGTAGACTGAGTTGGTTTGTTGGCATCATCTGGTGCAGGTTGCGCCGTGTCGATCGATAGAACAGAGCCCACTCGGCCGCGAAGGCCGATTGGAACACCGACAAGAAAATAATTGTAGGTATAATTATATCGCTCTGGAAACATACGGGAGTGGGACAATTTTGTAGGAAAGAGCAACGGTTTACCCAGCCATTCATTTCTCTGCAGTGCGCCTGGGTCGCTCGCAGGCAACCACTTCCTGCGAAAGAAAGCTGTCTGGAGCAGCCAGAAAAGCGCTGTGCCAATAATCGTCGTTATCCCAACAGTGATGGTAATCGGTACAACGACCGTCCATTGTGTTTGTGGTGATTGATTGACCAAAGTGGCAATCGCAAGATAGGAATACCATTTCAGGCCGGCGTTTCGATCAGCTCGGGGCAAGAGTATAAAGGTCAGGATGACACACAGACTCGTCACTGCTGTGATATCGACTTGTGGAAGCATAATGTGATTCGACAAAGTTTCCTTTCCCAAGTGTATCATTGTCCGTTTGGATGTCTGACACGCAGAAACAATTAGCTTCTTATAGAGCCTGAAGCGCTCAAGTGGCAAGGAAGCCTCCATGACTGATGTAATAGCACATGTGCCAGCTACCGTATCAAGGATCAGATTCAAGATTGTATTCGTTGCAGGTGTCCTGTGATGGTGCCCAGTCATGATCATCATGCACATCCTTGTTTTACATACCGACTGATGACCTTGCTTGGAGGACTGGAAATTCCACATGCTAACTTTGACTTTCGATCCCTTGGCCCATGACGTGTTAGTCTTTGTACATCAGAGCTGATTAGGGATGATGTAAGGTGTGGTCTACATGGATTGTATACACATCACTGGAGGAAACTTGCCAATATCACAGGTCGGACATAACTCCATTGAGCAATTTACTACCATCCCTGCGACCCCTGCAAAGATATCTCGGAGCTCAAATGTCGAGATAATTAGAAATACCGTCTTGTAAACTTTTTGGTAAGACGTGTGCTGTCGCAATATAAGATAGTGCATAAAAGGGTACCCACGGAGCTCAGAAATGTCTGGATATCTTTTGTAGCCGAGTGATGATCTTTGCCACATATGCTATGTATGAGAGATATTGGAAAGTTTTTTACGGGACAGTCAAATCAATTTTATATAGAAATCTATGAACATCAAATTGCGCTTCCAATCTTATCATACTTAACAGAGCAATCTCAACGCTTTCGTTTGAATAAATCACCAATATCGAGGTCGTAGGCCGTGGAGGGTTGATGCCCCTGGCATCTTCGATCCGTCCTTTGCACGCATTACATTTTGTCCTTGTGCCAATGAAAAACACCCGAGCTTTCAGGAGAGAAAGCTACAAAGGTGCACTTCTGAAATGTCTTGAACAGCGAGAGTAGAAAGCTTTCTCTTTTCTCCTCCCGATATCTATGGCCAAGCAGCGGTCGTATGGCCATAGTCGCTTCTTCCGCTTTATAAAACGGAATTCTGGGGAAAAGGTGGTGGACGACATGGTAATCAATAATGTCGTGAAAGAAATGCCGGCCAATAAACCCGTAACTGCGGTCTACCGTGCAGAGCGCGCCTTTGGAAAATGTCCAACTCTGGTCCGCATAGTGCGGAACTGACGGGTGTGTATGATGCAAGTATGTAATGGCCACTGGTCACGAAAGGTTAATCACGAACAGAGGAAGGGAGCAGTGGACAAACACCTACCAATCCAGTGGTTTACCCAAAGATATGGCATGAAATAGAGCAATAGAATATCTCCCCTCCCAATGGTTGAACTGATATGGAATAGTGCCCACCCCGCTGCAAGCACCCCGAGATCAGATAAGAGGACGTACACCCTCTCTTTCATCGAGAATAGCCCACTCATCGGATCAAAATGGCTCTTAGTCCGATGTCTATGTTCCCCATCGTGGCGTATGCTGTCGTTCCCTGCGCTAACAGCCGCCAGGAGATACATTGGCCATCCCAGCATTTGGTGGAGAGCAAGATTGACAAGAGTTACCAGCGGCGTGTCCTCCGCGATATTTCTGACATCTTGAATCGACATGCCACGTTTTTTAGCGTATTCATTCTCGGTAAATGGGACAAACGCGGTATCCCTGCCCATATGTCCGGCGTACCGATGATGCCGTGCATGTGTAATTTTCCAAGAAAAGTACGGCACAAGGAGAATAGAATGGGTGGTCCAGCCGACCAAGTCATTGAGCCAGGGAAATAGAGAAAAGGAACCGTGGCCACATTCATGTGCGATGATCCACAAACCTGTGCCAACACAGCCTTGAAAGAATCCATACAGTACCCAGGCCATAGCACGTAACCACAGAGAGGGAAGAAGGTGGATATGCCAGGCGCAGTAGATTAAGGCACTCGCATACGCAATGTCACGACCCAGATAGGCAAAGGACACCAGGACCGATGGGTAGAAGCAAAATTCAGGAATCGAATCTTTCAGGGCTTTCAGACTAGGCTCTTTCTGGTGAGACGAATCTATTACTGGAGGCTGAAGGAGCACCTGTGAGTCTCGCCATCAAGCATGGTATCGGGGCTATAGGTGGTTGAGCACTTACCTGGTATATCCAGTCCTCTGTGATATCCGAACGGGCTGAGAGCCACATCTTTATAGAACTCCAGGGGTAGATAAACCAATTCTTCTCGGTCGTTGGATCAATATACCACTAGTTCGTTTAGTTCAAGGCCCATGCGCGGGTATAGAGTCCGGCGGGGGGGGTTGAGTTTCTAGCTTACACTTCGACAAGCATTTTCCAAGATAGTCTTTTCTAGCCCGGCTCTTAATTGTCTATTAAAATTTTCTTCGCTCGAGCGCTTCACTTCAACGGACGAGGCCTGACGTGAAAGAATTGGTTCGATGAGTCGGATGACTAGGTTGACATAGCTAAATCATCATTAGTATGTCCCAAAACAAAGATAAAAGAAAGAAAGAAGGAAAAAAAGAAGAAAAAGCTCGGCAACATACACCTCGGCGGTATATACTGTCGATGTATGCCCACGGCCAGAATTGGGCCCTAATAAGTAAAAGAAATTAGGAAACCCAGACATGGCGACCGTGTTGAACGCTTGCATAGCGCCAGCCCGCTTCCAATGCTCCTTTCGACTGTACCCGCGTCGACCATGTAGGTCGACGTCATGCTGTGTTGGGGAGAAACCAGTGGCTAACACCTAGAATCACAAAAAAATCCATCTATTAGATAGTAGAACTGGAATTGAGAAGGGTGTGCCCACAATGACGTCTGCTGGATAAACCTTCCCAGACTTGGTCAATGCGGATTGTTCTAGTAAAGAAACAATAGGGTCATCGACCACATGAACATTGGCTCTATGCAAAGTAGCCACATATCCATCGTTATCAAAGACCCTGCGCTACATGGGTTTTAGCGGTATCGGCATCAGGGTTGCGACACAACTTACCTTGCACCCAAGCTCGTAGTTAGGAAATAATAGAGACCAGTATTCTTCTATGGGAGCGTACAATGGTCAAACCCTCGTGGGGAACTTGTAAGAACAGCTTGGGTACCAGGATAGTGACTTACCTGGTGCACATTCTCTAATATAACGACGACATTCTGTCGACGCACGGTTCCTCATCTTGGAGCCGAGCCAAGTACGGCCGAACTGGAGGACAGAAGACTCAAGATAAAGAAACACGAGGGCTCTAAAGAGCTTGAGAACCCCTGGTATACCATGGAAAGCATTCCTCCAGTATTTACTAATCGGGGAATTCTGGCTGGGCACGTAGTACTGCGGAGTCTATCTTGTCTATCAGCGATTTGATATTGCATGTTAAACTTGGTGAACAGACCCGGATGAACTGGGTGACCGACTTGGCTTTCTCCGCAATTGTTGGGACCAATTGAGTTGACGATGCTATAAATCCAGTCAGCAAAAAGTAGGTCCAACATGCAGTGTCGTGAGCAAATGATGATAGGAGGGTGAGATGATACAGCCATTCCCAATGACCACCACATTTCTCTGCTCAATTGAGATATCGGGGTCCCACTCCGCAGTATGCACGATATCCCCCTTGAATCTGTCATGGCCGAGCAGAGACAACCGATTTGGATTTGACAATCCTCCGACTGCGGAAATCAATATCTCGCATTGATGGGTAAACACCCGGCCAGTTGACGTCTCTCTCAGCGAAAGAGACCAACGGCAGCTATCGTCCTGCCAATCTGCTCCGACCCACTCGGTACTTCCAACAAAATGCTCGGTCACGTTGAACTTATCTGCCACGTCATTGATGTACTCCAAAATTTCTTGCTGCTTAGGAAAAAATCGTGAGAAGTGCGGATTGGGGGCAAATGATAAACTATAGAAAGCGGCCGGGATGTCGACTCCGCAGCCAGGGTCTTCCTCTTCGTCAGTCATCGGAGGGTAGATACTCTAGTCGAATATTTTCGTGCTGTCTTACATCTGTTGGCATACCATGTACCTCCTAGTTCAGGGGCCCGATCATAAATCACAAAATCATGGAAGTCCAGCTGTTGTTTGAGCTGGCACGCCATGGCCAGGCCCGAAAACCCCGCGCCTATAATGACCACCGGGGTGTGGGCCGAGTCATTCTGTCGTGGAGCCATAGCGAGTATGTGGGCAAGACGCTCGAAGTTGGTTCCTCTTGATGGGATTACTTGGGAAGTCTCAGACAGATGTATAATAAAGTTATGTTTATATTGCCCCTGCCATAATCACATGCAGCTGCCTGATATTGAGGATAACCAGCTAATACCGACCAACCTCTCCTCACATCCCACCTATTGGTTGTGTCTGAACATTGTGATGTCAATGTGCAGTTGGCATAATTGTCTATAACAGTAAGGGACATTGATCCCAATACAAGTCTGGACGTCCCAATCGGTAAAGTCCGAGATCGACTCGATTGGTAAAGTCCGAGGTCAGGATGACTTCATGGGTCTCATTCTCCGGTAATGTTACGAGAGCGTCAGTCGGCATAAGTATTATGTGCTCCAGGTCACTGTCAAAGTCTTCAAATTCGCTACAGTGGGTGGCATAACCAGTCCCGCGAAGCATGGTTACCCCAAATAACTTTATAAACAAATAACGCACAATGCTCTAATCCGCTGAATTTTCTAGAAGATTCCACTATGTCAATGTTAGTTACAACTATCACACTACTATAGTATTTTGATAATTCTATATACTCCGGTTGACCCTGTTAATTTTAGTATGGTGGGTACTGCAGGGATCATGATCCTTGTCAGTACCCACCATACTAAAATTAACAGGGTCAACCGGAGTATGCCTAATTAGGAATATCCAAAATAGCTAACAACCGGTTCAAGCATACAACTCATCATTCTAAATCCTGTTCGTCCATCTTGACAATTGTATCCTTGTATATTGAAAGCAATGACTCCATGTAGCACTCTTTTATAAGGGGCAACCGTGTGACTCAGCCATAATCGTCTCAGTTTACTTGTTGGTTGGACAAACTTTTCGGGAAGAGGCTCTGATATTTTAATGGTGGAATGATACGTGGTGCAATGCAAGGGTGAAATTTCCAGGTTTCCTGCAGCTACAGGCGTTACTTACCATGTAAAACACACGTGTGGAAAACGTCACTCTGTATAAGCCACTGAAGAAATCTGATATACCTGTTGAGCAAGGCAGCTTGCCTCACAGATACAGACTATGACGCACATCTGGAATAATAATTAGAGAAGGTAGGGCAAGCTAGGGCCATAAAAATAGTCACTCACGGGATATGAGGGATCCTCAAATGTGGAAGTATCAAAGCATGTACGATACACATATCTTAGCGATTATTGATCGTATTTTACTTCTGTGGATGAAGGCTGTCCATATAATCAATAGCACCAGATAAGATAGAAAACACGATACGTGATCTTCTACTGAGAGCAATAGAACCTCTTTTATCACGACCTAAATAGCTCGATCATAGCCCAAGATATAAACACTGACTTTACAAGTTGGTTGTTGATATGCTAATAGCAAATCCCTCTCTGCTCTATGACTTGCACAAGTGACTTGGCTCCAGTATATTATAATGTCACATAGGCTCTTTCTTCCTAGTATTATTGGTAGCTTTTCTACCGGTCACGCTTCCATAGGTACACAGCCATGGTTCTAATTGCAGGGTAGCCCAGGAGTGTACATAGTCAAAATTCTTCACAACCCTTGCTTTAATGCAACGGGACTGTTGAGGAAACACTGATGAATCATGTGGAATTTGCTTGGGGCTTTTTGATTAGTTTACCTTGTCTATATCATACATACGGCCTATCATATGCGGATAAAAAACCCTTGCTTATACTTGTTCTCAGCCACTTCAGCAAAATACTGAATCGGAATTCGGAATTTGGTCGGTATTGATTTGACTTAAATCCCCACATTTGCTCTAGGATTTCACATCAATCAAAAACTTGACAACTTTCGTCATGAAAGGTTCTACGGCTACTCAGTAATCAGAATATCCTTTCGCTTAATTGGAATATGTATTAGTTACTACGCGGACAGCAAGATACTCAGATAGATCAAACACAACACAAAATACTATCCAAGTATATCCACACTAATGCTTAGACATGGAATATGAAAGAGGCCAACTCGCCTTAGATCTTGTGATTTTTGACCCGCTATAATACCCCTATCGCTCAAATCCAAGGACTGGGCTCCTTTTTCACAGTAATACAACAAAATTGTATGTAGTATCACCCAGGAGACCAAGCCTGCAATCCAGCACTTCAACACAACCGATTTCCCTCCCTTCAAAGTCCGACACATATCGGTCTCGAGCATCCCAAGTCGGATGGGTGAGCCCCGCTACCATTAATGATAACTTAGTCGCACTTAAACTGAACCGAGTTCTTTTCCTTCAAGTTCCAGCAGCCCAAGGCATCAAGGACCCGAGAACCGGTTCGGCAGCTTGAGTCGTCATAAGAAACCACTATCACGTACACTGTCAGTAGGACTCATTTGGTAAAGGTATAAATAGATACTTACGGTGGCAACTACCACGGAGATCAAGGATTTCGACTCCTCGACTGGTTTCAGCCAGGTCCAAGCAGGCGCCGTCGCTGTAGTCGCGCGTGGGACCACCCTTGTCGTTGCAGCTGGTCGTCTCGTGCCACTTCAGCTGAACGTCCAGGCCTCGAGGCTCGTGGGGCTGAGCAATGGCTCCGGAAACATAGAGGGACAGCACTCCAACGGCGGTCATAGAGAGGGTGTTGAACATCATTTTGAATTTGGGTGGTACTTGAGAATAGATAGGCTGTTTGGTGTGCGGTGCAGTGACTTGATTGTTTGGAGATGGGTGTAGTTTTCAATTGCTTGAGTGTGTGGACAGAACTCGACTGGAGGAGGGCAGAAGCTCACTTATATAGGTGTAGACTGCCTATGTACTGAAAACTGATGGCAAATGTTGCTGGCAAGAGGCAGAACGCCTGACATGTGCTACGGTTATGGACCATATTGATGAGCAAACACGTTCTCCAGATGCTAAAACTATAAAACTGCAGGATTTAGTCACATGGGAACGCCTAACATGGGACCCCTAAGGCTTTCCAGCCCGCTACTAAGTTGGGATACTTACCTTGATACACGAGGCCTTAGATGTATCGGCGACTCCAAATAAGGTGATAAGTTGTCAAGCGGATTCTCTCTAGATAGTCCCCGTCTTGGCACTACGACCTTTTGCCTGGGATAGGAAACCAATGGTAAGATCGTAAGCCAGAAAGGATCGTACATTTATCCATGATCATCATTAGGCCAGCCGCCAAGAGCAGTTAGCGTTTGTACCTGAACTTTGAAGACTTGGCATACTTAGACTACGAATTATAGTTAGAACTTCTCTTGGAGACAAGCCGGTGTTTAGGCAAGCTGCCAAGAAAGGTTATGTATCTGAAATTAGGGTTAGAGTATTTCAGTCACTACACCACAACACAGCGTCGGCATTTGGTTAGTTTTGATGTGACTGATATCCCAACCAAGAATATGCCAAGCAGTAAATCAATTAGGACCTTCTATCATCAGGCCAGCTGCCGATAGTGAACAGTCTTTGGGCCTGAATTCAGATACGAATTTCGCATGTATGTACTATTAATACTGTATTTAGCCAAGCCACCAAGAAAAAACCTTAATTGGAATTGGGTCAGGAACACCACACAACATTTATAGACCCATACATCTTTCCACTTCAACATCTTCACAGCCCGGGTGGTCTAGTGGTATGATTCTCGCTTAGGGATTAAACCCAAGCATATCTGCGAGAGGTCCCGCGTTCGATCCGCGGCTCGGGCCGTTGATACATATTCTTTCAAACACAGGCCGGCTGGCCCAATGGCAAGGCGCTTGACTACGAATCAAGAGATTGCAGGTTCGACCCCTGCGTCGGTCAATTCTTTTTGCAGTTGTTGGCTTAGGTGGCAACTTGCTTTTTTTGACCCCATATCGTACGTATCTCATAAATCGTTGTAATTGTCATACCGTGCCTACTAATTCCTCGGTGGAATTTTAGAAGAGCAGACACAAGAAGGCCCATTTCTTGAAGATCCCATGCCGTCATGGCTTTGAGTCACCATGTTTGCTGTGTGCCCCGGAGCGACACAACTGAACACACAGTACTTACGTTTTGTTGTGCAGGTGCGCTCTGTAGCCTCGTATCTAGTATTCAAGGCGCTATTATGTAGAGCGTCTGTGGGAAGCCAGGCATGGTGGTCTTTTCGCTCGGTGGTGGTCGAGTATCTGAGAGTCAAAGTATAACATACATGTAAACTTAGTCGATAAGAGAAAAGAAAGTGTAGATTTGTTAAATAAATACGGAGAATCAAACATTATTTTTCGAATGTCCAGGAGAGAGCCCCGTTATAAAAATTTCTAGTGGGGGTTATCATAAGTGTGCATCTGACCGTGGCATGTGTATCATGGACCATACCTTCCTTGGCAAGCAAAGGATAAAGTCTAAAGTGTGGGGCGCGTTCCTGTGGGCCCCCTAAAGATGTTGAACTTGAGGTTCTGAACCAAGTGACACAGGGGCATTATCATGACTAGGGTCTTCGGCATTGTCAACCATTATGCGTTTGGCTCCCATGGCACAGGACAACAGTATAACTTGGATTTCCTTCAGACCAGAGTCAATCACGGAAGATAGCGGTAAGAGATGGAATAGTAAGGTAGGCCAGCCTGATGGATCTGCATGACACATGATTCTATCTACGTCCAACTCATTGAGAAAGGAGGTCAAATAGGCTGCGAGGCTGCAAACTCGGCGAGTCAATGGACATGTACTCCATTTAAAATGACGATCCTGGGGGCTCGCGAGGGCCAAATCGATGACACTTGTCTAGGCTGCGAGCACACCAACAGACTAGTGCCGTCTGTCACCTCGTAACCATGACGCTAAACTCCGCTTCAGGGTCTTGAACGTGCAGGTCCTTCAGTCGGGACCCGCCACCCCACTATTAACTTGTACTTGCTACCCAAAGCTTAATATGGGTTCTCAATTATTCCTTCGACAGGGGTCAGCCCAACGAGAGAGTTTACGGGAAGAAAATTCGTCATCATGCCCTCTGTCAGTAATCCGTTAACTTCCTTGTCTGAGTTGCAGTAAATGCAAAACCTGAATACTCAAAAGCGACGAGGCTGACCGAGCTAAGCCGGCTAGCTTCAAACAATTAGCAGGGACGAGGCTGAGCTGAAAAATCAACTAGCGCGATCAACACCAACCATTGGACTCATTGGCTTGTACAATATAAGACTGCGAACTAAAACACAACACGAGAAGCGCACAGACCGCTGCGGGTGATTAGGGAGTTAGCGTGATGGGCTGACATACAGTTTGTTCGTTTAGACAAGATAAAGGGGGGGGGGGTTATAATCCTCCGGCCCCCACGGGGATTTTGCAATATGAGGAGCATAAGTTTCCTTTGAGCAGAACGCATCTGACCCCAGTGACCCTGCTGTCGATTCGATATGGGAGCTGATACATTCTCCCCCATCTTCTCCGGAGCCTCGGAGGAGCCAGAGGTTCGCCGGGAGCGGGACATTCATCACCGCGTTCACCACCAATATAACGGGACTCGAGGTGTGGTGGGCTGGTTGAGCCACTATCGGTATCGAAAACCCCTAGCGACGGATGAGGCGATTGACCTGCGCATTAGAGAGTTGAGCCGCGTTGAAGAAGGCATCACGCCGGACTTCCGTGGGGAATTTCGCAAGCTCGACGGCGAGCTGATCGAAAAGGAGTTGGACCTCGATGTCTACTACAGCACCACCCGCAAGAGGCCGCGACGGCTCCTAGTCCAGGTGACCGAGGAGACCTTGCGGAAGTACCCGACCCGCCATTGGCGCTATCGCAAGGTCAAAGGCCGGGTCCCTATCGTGATGCGACTGACAGAGCTATGTCTAAACCCCCTGTTCGAGCTCGCGCCACCGAAGGAGCGTCACCTAGCAAAACGAATCGCGGGGTGGGCTGTGTCGCCCATCTGTACAATCTTCCTGGGGTTTGTGATCCAGCTTATGATGGCCTCAGAGCTGATGCTGGCTCCGTGGTCGGATAATGAGGAGCCTGACTCGGGCGATTATGAGGACATCGAGCACTATCACTGGGAATGGCCCAAACACGCTACCAATATCCTGGACCAGCGGCCCGTCGCGCCGGATCTGCAGAAAGAGGATCGGGAGTTCGAAGTTGCTATGCTTAGGTTCCCCCGTCGTCTGATGGTGTGCGATAGCGAAACAAAGGACTGGGCCGTACAAAAGGCCGTAGACCTCCGCAAACCCTCGACCGGCGCATTGCCGCGGTACATCTTCATGAGCTACTCGCCGAGCTGCTTTCCCAATGTCCCAAACATCAAGGAATACATCAACGAAGCAGGCAAGGCCATGATCGCGCACGAGAATCTCTCGCGGGGTGAGGGTGAACAGATCGAGGCGTTCTGGACGGATAGAAGCTGCATTCCCTGCGAGCAACCCAAGCACGAGTATACCGAGGACGTTAACTCTATCTGCGACGCTGTCCGACACGCGGAGCGCGTCTACATCGTTCTCCCCGAGGACACAATTGAAGCCAAACAGCGTTGGGGAAACCGAGTCTGGACGCTCCCGGAGGCATTGTTGGCCGCTGACAAGATGCGGTACTGCGTCCCCGGCTGCGATGCTGACTTTATCTGTCCCGAGTCCCACCTCACTCTGCTGCAGGTGTATGAGACCTTTTGGGAACGACAAGAGTCCGAAAATGCCGTGGCCAACAGCGAAATCGGTCTCCTGGTCGAACATTTCAGCGGCACCCTCTCGCTCAGCAACATCCAGCTGTTCGCCTACGCCACCCAAGCCATCTCGCGCCGCGAGGTCTCCCTGCAATTTGACAAGCCAACCCAAACCAAGGCCCTCACGCGGGTCGATGTCGCTCTCGCCACTATGGGACTCCTCGCCTATCGCATTCCCACCGATCCCAACGATAACAACTTCCAAGCCATGGCGCGTCTGTCCTTGGCCAACGACAGCGACCAGCTCCTCGAGCGCCTGGTCTGTCTCCTACCCAACCCGGCCTCTCGTACCGCTCCCTATGCCCGAGCTCACCCTGACCAAGTGCGCGCCCTGAATAAGGACTGCCCCGTCGCGTGCAGCGAGGAACTCCTCAACATGGCGACCGAAGACCAATTCGGTAGTCGCCTCTGGGACATTACGCCGACCTGTAAGCTCGTCGGCGTCGGCGACGATCCACACATCCCCACGGTCATCCTCGACGAATGCCGCGCAACGCGCATCCGCTGGAAACGCTTCCCGCAAATGAGATACAGCAGCCAGATCAAAACCATCCGCGGCGTCCTCGCCACGAAGGTCGTCCTTTGGGGCTGCTTCTGGCTGCACCAGGCTCTAGCCGCCTTCTGGATTGCTATCCCCCTATCAATCGCACTCTTCCACGAGGAGCTCGGACAAGCGTTGCGAGATATCCCCCAGGACTACAGGCAAGTAGTGAAATATACCATACAAGCGCTTGGCTCGCCATTCATCACTTTTTACCTCGTCGGCATCGCCATCTATGTCGGCATCGCATGGGTCCTCTCTCTCTTTGCCCCGGCCGCAATCAACCATATCTCGAGATCGAGTGATCCAGGCCTTAAGGGCCAACTCGTCGGGTTTGAAGGGACCATGGACCTACGTCACCTGGAGCGCCTGATCTTCGGGAACGTGCAGGATCGTCTGATCTACACGCCTTCCTGCACGCCCCTGACGCGCGACTTTCGCGATCCCAAGTTCCGGGAGGCGAAGGAATTAGATTTCGCGGCCATGGAGGCGCTCCTGCGGCCAGGGGAGCGGTTGTTCTCGATTGTGGATATGGGCACGCTTTCCGTGACGATCATCGCGGCCGAGCGTCCGCCGACCGTGGCGTTGATCTGTGGTCGAGATGCGGGCATGCTGCGGGCGTTGCTGTGTAGTTGGCGGTTTGAGGATAATTGTCTGTATAAGGAGACTGTGATGCGGATGAGGAGCTCGATGTACGATCGCACCACGGCCCAGGATTGGGTGAAGGTTAGCTTGGCCAGTCAGGGGGCTGCGGCGAGGGCGTATCTGGGAACCGTCTCTTGATGCCCAATGATGGGGAGGTATAAACATGGTGCGGTTTGGCGTTTTTGAATAGAGTTCACATACCCGTTATGCTGCTTGTTGATATCGAGATTAATGAAAGTAATAAATAGTCATATTATCGTATATCCCACATAGATATTTCAAGCTTTCATGGCCTTTTTCGAAGCCGCTTTATCAATAGCTTACTTCGGGGTGACAGAAGTACAGTGATGATCCCATCTGGTGGACAAGGTAAAGAGTCCATATCTCCGATCATGGAATGTGCTTTGTAGCATATTGCAGGATCCGTGAGACAATCATATCTGACTATATTGACAAAATTGTTGATTCTATAGACGACAACGACGATGGTTCATGAATAGAATGATGAAGAGACGAAGTCGGCAGATGTAGCGGTGGAAACACGTGTTTACATGGTCAGCTGACATCTGTTGCCAACTACAGTCACTGTGGTATGAGAAAGATTCAAGTCTACATACTCGATCATAGTAGATGCCATGGATCCTTTATAAATCAGGGCTTGTCGAGTGTTTCTGCGCATATTGAGCAAGTGCCTCCCACCAAACTAGGGAACAGATTGTATATCAACATCAAGTATAAGGGTCATCTCGATGGTATGGAAAAAAATTCATGAGATGACATGCCACCACCAACCGACATTCATTTCAGTCAACGAGCCATTGTATATACTGATAAGATGTGGATGGTACCGATATATACGGCCAAATATAAGTCATTTGACACTTGAAGCTTAAACAAAGCTGTGGAATCTGCCGGTTTCAAAAAAAGATTAGCATAATACTGGCATGGGAAAAGCTCTAAAAATCAGCTGTCATGTTCAGTCATCGCGTTTCGAGATTTCACAAAGAAACCATATCCCAAGATAGGAATCGATGGGCTGGTCAGTACCTCGGTATTATCATTCGTGAATCTTGGTATTAGGTGCACAACATGGCAGAATCTCCGTCATGTATCTTCTTGGTCGCCTTGGTCGCCTTGGTCGCCGATTCAACCATACATCTAGGAAAGAATCAGCCCACTGTTTCGGGCTTGTGGAGGATATTAATCTACCGATTCAACAGCCTGGCAGTAGACTCCACCTATGAACTTCGCTGAGTTGAGCCCTATTTGGCAGAGGAGCAAGGGCCAAATCCGGGCTGGAATCGTTGGCCTTGTCACGAAGGAGTTTAATGTGGAGAAGCCCGCTTTCAATACCACCAGGTCATATTTTCCCCACGGGGCCGGAATATTTCCTAATCTGGCGATGTTGAAGATCGGCAAATATGATTGTGCCAAGGAAGGTCGAGACAGTACCACCAGGCCCTTGTCAAGAAATGATCAACATAGTACAGCACCGTCAACAGTCGGATTTGCACGGCAAATCTTGTCATTGGCAGCAAGGCAGCAATGCTGTCTCGTTATATAGAAAGAATCATGATCGTATAACTACAACTATCATGCTTGCAGCTGTCTCATTCTTCGGTGTCAAAGGTATTGAACCCAGTCCGTAGATCCCTGTCAATACCCTAGATATCTCCGTGTTTCACCCCGGACAAACCTGGCCGCCTGTATAGTAATAGCTCGCATTTTTCCGATACGAATGGGTAAATAGTCTTAGTCGGTTAAATTCGGTGCGTTTGATTATACTGTGCTCGTCGTTCAAGTATATAAATCGTCTAAAGACCCATACTGGCAAATATTGAATCACATATGGGTCGCTTCAGCGCAACAGTGGCCATCAACAATCATACTTTGAGCTACCCCTACATAAACTAATTAGAAAATACTAAAGAGCACAATGCCCTCCTCAAAGAGCTGGCTCAAAGCCGCCTGGCTGCTGTCCGTGGGCCAATTTCTCACCAGCCCTCACTTCGCCAAAGCCGACAACCCCATCGTACAGACATTCTACACCTCAGACCCAGCGCCCTTCGTGTACAATGACCGGGTCTACCTCTTCACTGGCCACGACGAAGATGGTCCCAACGACAACTACAACATGCTCGATTGGCGACTCTTCTCCTCCGCCGACATGGCAAACTGGCAGTATCACGGCTCCCCGCTAAGTCTCGAAGCCTTCCCCTGGGCCAGCAAAAACGCCTGGGCAGGACAGGTTATCGAGCGCAACGACAAGTTCTACTGGTACGTCCCGGTGTCCAACGACGACTGGGCCTTCTCCATCGGCGTGGCCGTGGCCGACAATATCACGGGTCCGTACGTCGACGCGATCGGAGAGGCCCTCGTACCCGGGAGTGAGATCGACCCGACGGTCTTCATCGACGACGACGGTCAGGCCTACCTGTACTGGGGCAACCCGGGCTTGTTTTACGTCAAGCTGAACGAGGACATGATCTCCTACAGCGGGGAGGTCGTCGAGGTGGAGCTCACGGAAGAGGGCTTTGGCTCGCGTGACGACCCCGAAACCCCAACCATGTACCAGGAAGGCCCGTGGTTGTACAAGCGGGGCGATCTCTACTACATGATCTACGCGGCTAAGTGCTGCCCCGAGAACATCCAGTACTCGACGGGCCCCAGTGCCACTGGGCCGTGGACCTACGGCGGCGTCATCATGGACTCCGCAGGCACGAGTGGAACCAACCACGTCGGGATCGTGGAATACAAGGATACCCCGTACTTCTTCTACCACAATGGCGCACTTCCCGGTGGGGGCAGCTATACCCGTTCGGTCTGTCTCGAGAGCTTCGAATACAATCCCGATGGTACTTTCCCGACGCTCAAGATGACGGAAGAAGGCCCGGCGCAGGTTGGCGCACTGGATCCCTATGTCCGGCAAGAGGCGGAGACTATTGCTTGGTCGGAAGGCCTGAAGACTATCGATGGCGAGGCTGGCGTTATCTTCGTGGGGAAGATCAACGACGGCGACTTTATCAAGGTGAAGGGTGTTGCGTTTGAAAAGGGGGCGACCAAGTTTTCTGCCAGCGTCGCGTCTGAAGTCAACGGTGGCAGCATCGAACTGCACCTTGGTGCCGTGGACGGCAAAGTCATTGGTACTTGTGCTGTTGAGGTCACCGGGGGCTGGGAGAAATGGAAGACCGTGTCATGTCCTGTCGAAGTCGCTGCCGACACGACAGATGATCTTTTCTTCAAATTCATTGGCGATTCTGCTGATGATCTGTTTAACGTTGACTGGTGGCAATTTGAATAATCGTGATATCCTCTGAGTGTCGGCTATACCGCGTGATATGCGTTGCGCGTAGGATAGCGAGAGCGTCAATCATGTCTTCCATTCTCGTGTCTGTGCATCATGCTTTTCTCTAAATAGTGATGTGTATAATCTGAATAAAAGGAAGTTCGGAATGCAAGAAGACAGATTAGATCAGATGGAAGGCACCCTCTGAATATAAGCGTACACAAACTCCATATATTCCAGGATTGGTCTTTAATGGTACAACTTTAGTCCTTTTTTCTTATAGGTTTCTCATAAAAGTACTTTTTTAGTACTCACTACTAATCAGCTTGAGCAAGTGGATTCGAAAGCATTGAAGCTAAACCTAGAGTGCCTAGGTATGTATGCAGAACAATGCAGGCCAATAACCTTGGATATATGAAACCATCACAATCTCAAGTTTTGGATAATAATGCATATTGCATTAAAGAGTGTCTTAGAAGTAAACTATGAGCATAATGAATATCGTGATTCAACAACGTTGATTTCCCTCATTATCAATCATTGCGGGGTTGTCACTGGCATCATATCACGCCATACTGACATTCACCAAGCCCTATCTCAATCTCGCAATACTACCAGGTTCGTGGTTATCCCGAATGTTAGTTCGTGCCATTGCAACTAAGTCGTCTGCATTTCCCTCTGTATCATAGGACTAACAGTTCGGTATTCCCTGCATGTGCTCCAGATATGACGGGTACACGGCACGTTTCTTTCCGACAATATCAGTTGACTTGTACTCCAAGACAGTGTACGCGATCCTGTGATATGATGACACCATATAAAGGAGGGGGAAATGCATATTTAAACCAGAATATGCTCGTAGAGGACAAGAATCCGCAACTCTATCAGAAAAATCTATCACGACTTTGACATCCACAATACAAACAACATGGCACCATCTGTCGCTGAAGCCCGTGTCGAGACGGTCGTCCCCATCAAGACCAACCTTGCAGCAGCCGATGACAAGCCCAAAGTGCGAAGAGCCATCGACGAGGAAGGGGGTCAAAGCACGGCGAGTGTACGTCGTCACATACATCTCTCCATCTATAAAATCGCTAACCACATTCTTGACCACAGTATCCACACTACCTCCCAACGTGGGATTACTCCCAGAAATACCCACCTCTGGAGCCCTTCACCCACATCGATCACGGCAAAGACGCCGACCCTTCTTTCAAAGACCTCCTCCCAGAAGGGTCTACCATCCAGAAGCTCACTCCCACCATCGGCTCCGAGGTGACCGGCATCCAGCTAAGCAAGCTGACCCCAACCGCAAAGGACCAGCTTGCTCTACTCATCGCGCAGCGCAAGGTCGTCGCCTTCCGCAACCAAGACCTCGCCGACCTGCCCATTCAAGATGCCCTCGATTTCGGCGTCTACTTCGGCCCCCACCACATCCACCCCGTCAGCGGGGCCCCCGAGGGCTATCCCGAAATCCAGCTCGTTCACCGGACAGGCAACGTCTGGGAGACGGACGAGTATATCTCGTCGAAGAACAGCAGCGTCTCGTGGCACTCGGACGTGACCTACGAGAAGCAACCGCCCGGGACCACGTTCCTGTACCTGCTCGACGGGCCCGAAGTAGGCGGTGATACCTTGTTCGCTGACCAAGTGGAGGCCTACCGACGCCTGTCGCCCGCCCTCCAGGAGCGACTTCACGGGCTGAAGGCTGTGCACTCAGGCGTTGAACAGGCAGAGTTCAGCCGCCAGCGTGGAGGCCATGTGCGGCGCGAACCGATCGAAACTGAACATCCGGTTGTTCGGACGCACCCTGTGACTGGCGAGAAGGCGCTTTTCGTCAACTCTGGCTGTAATCTTCTCCCAGAATTCCTATACCATTGCCCCTGCTAACACTACCTTTTATGAAGTCACCCGCAGAATTGTCGGGCTAAAGCGTGAGGAGAGCGATGCGCTGCTATCCTTCTTGCTAGCCCATATCAGTCGGGGCATCGACTATCAAGCGCGAATCAAATGGGCGCCGAAGACAGTCGTTGTTTGGGATGTAAGCTCTTTTACTGAGCAAGCGTGCGTTCGTGGTTAGGGCTAATCGGTATACAGAATCGGGTCACGGCACACTCTGCGACGCTGGACTGGACTACCGGCGAGCGTCGTCATTTGGGGCGTATCACTCCGCAAGCGGAGCGCCCGTACGAGACACCTTATGTTCCTGAGGATAGAAAACGCCAGGCGTAAGTCTATACTGGTGGTGGAACAGTTTGTTTGTATCATCTTTTGATATAACTCATTTCTCGTGCATTGACTTTTTGAATTTGATAACATTCCTAACCATTGCGGGGTTTATATATATTTTGAGATTACATTATATTCATTTGAAATGCTTTTCTCGACATTCTATCATATGAGCCACCTTTCCTTCGAAAACATAAAAATAATTAACACCCGGTTTATCCTTGAAATTGTTGAATAAAAGTCCCAAACCGATAGAATTTGGAACGAACTAAATTATTCTGGCACTGGTGAATACAGTAGTGAAGAGAGGGTTACCTACTTGAACTGGTGTATTTTGGAATTTATTTTTCCAGATAACAAACATGTTCTTATAGAAACAAGTACATACGACCATAGGGTGTGGAGAACAGGGCTTCCCGTCCGCTCAGCCGTACTTAAGCCACACGCCGGCCGGTTAGTAGTATGGTGGGTGACCACATGCGAATCCCGGCTGTTGTATGTTTTCTTTCTTTTTTTCATGTTTTCATGTTTTCATTTTTTCATTTTTTCATTTTCTCAATAGGGTCGCTCAAAGTGTTGAATATGATAAGAAAGCTCCACAGCCGGTGAGTGTGGAAGAATCATGAACTTGGGCGGCCAAGCAGTCTGGCAAGAATCATTGAACATGCATTGGTAAACCTCGATCTTAGTATTTGTATATAATGTTGGAGCAAGCTTTTATCTGCGAAACAATATACCATCTACCAGGTAAACACTTTCCAGATGTGATAGTGGGTATGCAGTTAGTAGGAACAATGTAGTTAGGAAGCAATATATTGATATAAATTCGTAAGTAGGTACCCTTAGAAATTCTGGCAATCATAGATATTCTTTCGCAATGAGTATTGAGAATAGTAGCTGGTCTGAAAGGTGGGTTGTTCTGGATGAGACAGTGATGGATCGCAGTTACTACTTGGGTAGATGCCTCGAAGTTTTCAGAGAGAATTTGGATACTAATAAAACCAGTGATTGTCTATATTGGAGCGTCCTCAGATTTTGACCTGATATGCTGTTTTATCTATGTATTATGGTCAATATCTGCAAGGCAACCATGTGAGCTGGAAAATGATCCACTGTAGTCGATTAACATTCCATGTGGCATCTTACATATCTCTATATCCAGACCAAGAATCACTTCTCACTGCTACTTTAGTCAGATCAGACCCTCTGGCAGATAATAATTTGAGACATGCACCTTTCACCACTATTGTGAAAAAAGTGAGTGCGGTCTATGCATGTCAAGAGAAGGGAACAGTTCAATTATCTTACTAGAATATGAGCTTATAGCTTTTGTTTCAGGTGGGGAGCTGAAACTAGAGCGTGAGATCTGGAACTGCTGTGGTTGTCAGCTTCGACTAAGACTGGGGGCAGGGAAGGGATAGCCCATATAACTAGTAAGACAAATCTCCCTAGCTCACCTTTTCTTTAGGTATTTAACACATGAAAAACTAGTAGACTGAATCCCATAATCAGCTGATTCTTTTAAATGACAATAATCTTGCCAATTTCTGCAATCAACCATAACATCAGGTTATCATCACTAACCCTAGACTAAAGCTGTTGCATTTTTAAAATCCTCACTCCTCACCACTCTCATACCCTTCTTTGCAGATGACAGTGCGAACACCACTTTGGCGGCCGAAGGAGTTTTTCTTCAATCGCAATGACAAGTCTGCACGCATAACAGTTGTGTGTAAAGGCAAATGCTTCTGCATACAGCTAGCACCTGCCAACTTCTGTCAATCTCCGATCTCTTTAAAAACTTATCTGCCTTGTTGGATTTAGTTTGCAATGACGAGGACTATGACCTTGCAGACAAGGCTGAACACGACCTTCATGACTGGGTTCTATGTTCTTTCTATCCAGTTTTTGTGTCTCTGAACGGAATGAAATTTTATCCAAACGTCCGACGAACTTATTTCTTAATCACGATGCCCAAAGGGCTGCCATTCACGAGATGAATATCTACAAACGTATCGAGACCTTGGGTTTGAACGAGAAAGTGAAAGTACCCCGCATGTATGGAGTCGTCCGAGATCGGTCAGAGGGTCGTATTATTGGACTTCTCTTATCCTGGATCAACTGTCAGAATAAGACGCTAGCGTGCGTTTTGGGCCCTGAAACACCATAGACTCTACGCCTGAAATGGGACTTGCAATTGACGGCAGCTGTGAACTGTTTGAACGGAGCTTGCATTGTATGAGGTGATGTCAAAGCAGCGAATATCTTAATTGATGAGAACGAGGACGCCTGGGTCGTTGACTTTGGCGGTGGATACACACAAGGATGGATGAGAAAGGACCAGATGGAAACAATTGAAGGCGATCAAGCCGGCCTTTTGAGAATTAAGGAGCTCCTGAGACAGGCTCCATGAGACCTAGTTCAGTGGATGTATGAAGAGGCAATAGTTCCATAGCACCCCCTAGTTGGAATGTCCAAACTAGACATCTGTTGGATCACTACAAAAGAGACCATGACGCTTGTGCGGCTTGTACTTATCTTTGATAACATCGTATATTGGGACAACGTCTCAGGGACCGGTCGCATACTGCAGTCTTCTCACTGCATCGTTGATTTGATGGCTTCTCGCCTACTTTTTGCCGTCAGAGAAAACACCAAGTCTCTACAAAACAGTTCTAATCTCGGGGATTTAGATGCACATATTCAAAATGGTATGTCTGAAATAGTAATATATGTAAAAATATAAAGAAAAAAGAAAAACATACAACAGCCGGGATTCGCATGTGGTCACCCACCATACTACTAACCGGCCGGCGTGTGGCTTAAGTACGGCTGAGCGGACGGGAAGCCCTGTTCTCCACACCCTATGGTCGTATGTACTTAATCCCTCTAATGAAGGGTTTATATCTTCTTTAACAGCGTGAGGATCACTTTCAAGCCGAAGTAGAACGCTTCCACGCCAATACAACAATCACCACTGCCATCACATCTCCATCTAACAGCCTCACCTCATCAGCAGTGAGTATTGTGGAGCATCGAATGTTTCAAGATTTTGTTGCTTGAAACTTCTTAGCCCTCGAACCTCCCGAAGACCCTGTGCTTGACCAAGAGCTGTCCCGCCAAGTCACCCACCAAAATGTCTAGCATGCCCATGGTGAGATTATCCCTAGATCTGTTGATATATAAGTTACTGATGTAGTTATTTTCTCAATAGTTCACTGTTCCTCCGGGTTGGACTACAGATCGTGCCGACGGCTTCTACGCAGAATGGGAGGGTACCGACGCAAGAGGTCAGCTTGTTGCGCAAGCCTACGGTCTTGGTCCAGGACAACCAATTATGGAGGATGACGATGGTCTGACGCAGTTATTTCTGTCTGACAATAATTTCTATCTTTGGGATGAGATGAATGATGAAGTTCACGAGATAGTCTCTCGCGATATCTGTGAGATCGCTGATGTTCTGGGGCATGGAGGACAGGGTGAACTTAACAAAAGGCGCTTGGATCAAGTCCACCGACTTGCTCGCTAGGTTAAGATAACTACATAGTTGAGTCATATTATCTCGTATGACTATTATATGAGAATTTTAATGGTTTATTCATTCATCTTTCATGGTGTTTTATTCTCGCCCGTGCTACTTTATCTATAGGCCTCGACGACAATTCGGCCTCCGATAGACCCGACTACACCAAGTCGTCTAACACGAACCCACGAGTATCTACCATCTACCTACACATGTATACTGGTCCAGTGAGGAATGTCTACACTTATACTAGTCTAAATAGGAATGGCCTTGCGTCTCGGTCTAACTATCATCCGATCCCTTTTTGTTATTCGAGCTTCTGGCGCTGAGCAATTCCTCTCTTCAATGCCATTCAATAACCTTCATTACCTCTGTCATTCAAAGATAAATTACTAGTGACAGACGATTATGTCCCTGTTTGGCAACAAAAACACTACTCCGCTAGACGCCTTCCTCAACCGCCCGCGCCCATCGGCCTGGCAGCAGTTTCTCAGCCAGCCTTGTGTCTTCCTCGCACGCAAGGTGTATACTTGGCAACAAGTAATCCCCGCCCAACCACTTACTAACCCTGTCTCCGTCGTTTGCATATCCGACACGCACAACTCTCAACCGGCTCTTCCAGATGGCGATATCCTCATTCACGCTGGAGATCTGACCCAGTCTGGATCTCCGAAGGAGCTACAAGCAGCAGTGGACTGGCTACACGCACAGCCACACACAATTAAAGTCGTTATTGCCGGGAACCATGACCTGTGTCTAGACGCCAATTTCCCCCATGTAGCTGGTCATGCGTCTTCAACGTGTACCTCTAGGCCCTGGGGGGAACTAATCAACTGGAGGGATGTAACGTACCTCCAAGACGCAGAAACAACCGTTACATGCGATAACGGGCGCCATCTACATATTTACGGCAGTCCAAACTCACCCCGTCACGGTAACTGGGCCTTCCAGTATCCTCGATCCCAGGATATCTGGTCAGGCAAGGTACCGGATGATATCGATATCCTTGTAACGCACGGCCCGCCTCGAGCACATCTCGATCTATTGAATCTTGGCTGTGTGCATCTGCTACAAGAGCTCTGGCGTGTTCGTCCGCGGTTACATGTATTCGGGCATGTCCATGAAGGCGCGGGGACTGAGTGGCTTCAGTTCGATGCATTGCAGGATGTATATGAGCGCACTGTAGTCTCAAAGGGTGGGATTTGGAACCTTGTTCAGGTAATAAAGGCATTTGTAGAGAAATGCTTCAGCCCGAGTACTGAAGCGAGGTGTCTTCTTGTGAACCCAGCTATTGTCGGTGGCCTTCGGGATGACGAACGTCGACGACCTGTCAAAGTCATCATTTGAAACAACCTGTTAACCCTGGCTTGAGCTTGGGTAGCCCGACTACGTGTTAAAACAGCTTATGAAGTGCTGGAGATATCAGCCAGGTCAACCCCTTCCAAACGGTCGTTCGGCCTTTTGGTGTAGTGGTCGAATTAGAAAATCTCATTTATCTCTCCTAAGCTGAGAAGGACAGGAAACCAACGAAAGGGTCGCAACTTCCGCTAAGGATCGTAACAGTGGATGAAAAAGGAAGCAGCTCCAATGCTCTTGTGGCTCATGGTGGACCTTTCGAGGATCATAAATAGAGGATCGCATAGCACACATCTGGATTATTTTTATTGACCCGAATGACGCTGCTCAAATCAGTATTGGAGTTTTCGAGAGATTGCTTCAAACTTACAGAATATTATTCTTAAAATAATAACCACCACTTCATTCAATTTGAAGTAGAGCCCACTCGGTCTAATATTCCCTCTATTTTATGATGTCTGGGGATGGCCTAGAAATGGTTATGCGGCTCCCATTGGAGATATGGTACCACATCACAGGCTATGTAAGTTGTTTCGATCTCTGTTGATAGGGAAAATCTTTTAAGAATGGTTTCTATACACTCAGATGCAATATAATTCGCGCTCAACATTAAAAGCGTTAAGCCGATCCTGCCGTTACTTCCGTCACGTCACATTGCCTGCTCTCTTTTATTCCATCCACCTTCATTTTCTCCCAGAACAAGGGAACACAGGACATTGGATACTGCGAGACATGCTGTCCAACGATAATGTGACAATCTGCGAATGTGTTCGCGTACTCATTGTATCGGGCTTTCAGTACGACCCAGGCGAAGACACATACTTGCTGCAATTTCTGATTCAAAGGCTAACAAAGCTACAAACTATTGGGTAGGGCCCCACAGTGTCCGATGTGAGCTAGTAAGCTAATCTGTCGACTACAGGTGGCGTGTGGGCTTTCTGTTTTCTGATTCACTATTAAACGATCTTGCTTCTCGCGATCCAGTGCCACGGCTGTATTACAAAGGCAGGATAAACTCCCTGACCCGATCACCCTCGTTGTTGAATTGCGTGGCTATTCGCTCCCTCAAGGTAAATTGTTATACCGCTGCGCAGGTGGATGCGGTGAGACCGGTTGTCTTTGCTCTTCCCTGCCTCGACCGTCTAAGCATCAAAATGGCGTATATAGACCATCGAGATCCGGTTTCATATGTCTTTTCTCCAAGACCGGGGGAAATCATGCCCCCTGTCCGCACACTTTGCTTCACCAATATCTCCTTCCACCCCCAACAGACAGATGGATGGGCTGAGTGTGTGCAGCATGACACCCTACGACATTTGGGGCTCGATGGCTCCCTAGAAACTATGGACTTGCTGACTTGTCTGACCGGCTGCGTCGCAGGCTTGACGTCTCTGGCGATACGTATCAATTGTAGTACCTACCGTGAAACCCGGCAGGTATCTAATCGACTGGGCCCATTCCTATCAGAAGTCAGTTGTCTCACAGCTTTTACCGGATATAATTTGTCCAAGCGTATCTTACCAACTGTGGTCTCCCGTCATGGCAGCCACCTGCAACGGCTTCGATTCCGCGGGACGCCATATACACTGGGGTTTAGGGTGCGCAATGATTGTCATCTTTCTAGTCACAATATACGCAATCTTGCTTCCGACTTACCCAACTTACACCGACTAGGAATCCATTTGAAGGTCGGGGACCAATTGGTAAGTCCCTCTTCGCGCGTGGGGGAGGGGACATGCTAACTACCGAAAGCCGTACGATACCCTCACGGCAATATCTCAATTTCCTCGGCTGCAGTACGTTGAAATTAATACAGATTTCGACCACGGACCCGTCTCAGAAGTCCCTCTCGTGGAAGATCTTTGGTTCGATGTATTCGTGGTGGAAGAAGCATTCCGTCACATTGCCACCGAGAAGAAACGTTCAACGCTCTCCCAACTTCCTCTTAAAGGATTAGATTTCAAAAGGTACGACTGGGGACCGCATATTGGGAGCCATAATTCGTTATGCAAGAATCCCGCTGTGCCTGTCTATGCCTGCCGATGGGCAGGTGGTGGGTCTCAGGGCGAGCAGGTTCGGGTGTTTCCAGTGTGGTACAATAAGATGAACAGTATCATTGGCGATGAAAGCTATGAAGAGTCTCTGGTCTCTGCAGGGTTGTGGGACTTGGCTTCTCTACTGGAAGGCCCGTGGATTTTGTGAAGGTGCTAGATATAGTCCGTGTGGAAGGATACAGTCGTTACCTTTGGGATGATGGTTTTGTTGGCTATTAGTAGGGGATTGGCATATATTTGGATTACGAGTATTATTATCTGAGCAGTTAAATGTTGAGTATATTATTCAATGGCTTCAATGTTGTTGGGCGCAGTTAATATAGAGTCGGGTTTTGGATAAGTACTGGCTGGTCTATAGTAATACCTGTTTGCTTGTGCCACTGCTGTTGAATTTCAACCCGTTAATTGAATCCTCGACCGCGAGGTAATCTCTTCTATACTTGATTGGATACCCTTCTCCAGTGACAGGAAGATAAACAAGTTAACGTGTATCATATAAGCATCATGATTGCATTTCCTGAACACGATGAGAGAGAACTACCAATGTAGACGTATCCGCACTTGATCCTGACAAATATACAAGCTGTATGAAGCATGGATAGACTCTGCTGGGAGAATCTTCATAGAATATCAGGCTTATAAAGCCAGCATGGTTTGATTCAGAATCAAGCTTGTTATTTCCTTATTAACGACCGGAAAAACATCATATCGAGAAAAAAGACCCTCAGACCCACCTCAAAAAAAAACAAAGAGACTTGAAAAGAGCAAACCACATCGCGTCTTCCTCCCTTATCTCAACCATGGCTATCCACTAAAGACAAGAAGAGCTCCCCTAAGCAGGCTCCAAATGATCGGCCTCATCCTCCTTCTTCACAACATCGCCGTCTCCCTTAACCTTGCGCTTCTTGCGGACAGGAGTAGAAGTAGCGCTCGAACCAGCAGCACGTTTTCCGGCACTTTTGGTAAAGGTCACAGTGTTGTCACATTTCGGGGTCTTGCGGTACTTGTCGAGTTGGAACTCGAGAGCCTTGAGGGTAGGCTTGTCATCGCCGGCTATGCATTATTAGTATAGTATGGTATAGTGCAGTAGAGGGCGGACTTACGCCAGTGTTGGACCATTTTGTTGAGATCGATAGTGAAGGTCTGGGTGTTGAAGAGGGTTTTGAGGATCTGGGTGGTGTAGTGTTAGTATTGCTGATTGTTGTGGTTTGTTTTGGATGGGGATGAGCTTACTGTAGTCTCAACTTCCGGCGACCAGCGCATGTTGGGTGGTTTGAAAGTGATGATTTGGTAGAGTAGAGTCTGTAGACTGAAGGTTTAGATTGTGATGTTAGGTGCGGTAGATGTAGGAGTGGTGAGTAGAGAAGTAAGTTCAGAAGATAGAGAGGTTGTAGACTAAAGAATAGATGATAGGGAGAATGTGTAGGATCTATTAACCTGATATCACTTTTTCATTTGCCTGTTGAGTCTTTTTGAGGGAGTTTTATCACTTCACTGGTCTTTCTTCACTGTCTGTTTCTTGAACTTGTTTCACCTCTCCAAGTCTGCTCTGATACTATCACTTCAACAGAGAAGAGTTCTTAATCACACTCTTCACTTTTCATCAAGTCTTATCTCCAGCACAGGGCGTCCTATCTACTCAGGCTCATGTTTTTTTTTTAAATCACAGACATCACCTTGCATGATGCCCATACCAATCTAGCGCACTGATAATAAGTTGACGGTAAATAGACATCCCACTGTCAGTATGACCAACAGCATGCTACTTACGATCTTATAAGCTGCTTATTCTCAAACAAAGATATTACTCATACTCTATGCCTGGCTCCAGTCCAAAGAAGAAAAACAAAAAAAAGCAAGAAAAAGGAAGAAAAAGGAAGATATAAATGACAAATGAATCAACTCTCCAACTTCTCATGAGCCTCAAACGCCCTCTGCAAGATATCCAAAATCACTGCCTCCTTCCGATCATTATACTGCATGACCGTCTCTCCACCCTCTCGACTCGCTCTCGCCGCCTCGCGCTTCACCCCCGCATACGTGATTCGATCATCCTCATGCGTACGCAACCAATCCCGAAGCATCCGATGCCAGATCGTCTCCGGCCCCTCGGGTCCAAAAATATGCACATTCGCGTACGGGTCTTTCAGATAAAGAAACCGATGCCGGTGCCAGGCCGGCTCGCGGAACAGGAACTGGAACCCGGCGGCCTCCAGCGCGGGGATGTAGCGGTCTTCGGCGTCGGGATCGGGCACGACGATATCCACGTCGATGACGTCTTTGGCGGGGAGGTCCGGCACGCTGGTGGATCCGACGTGCGCGACGGAGACTAGGTTGTCATTGCCTAGGGCGGAGCGGATGCGTGACTCGATGAGAGCGAACTTGGCTGGCCAGGTTGGGTCGGGGTCGACGATTTCGATGGGCTTTTGGGGGCGTCGGGCAATGTGCTCTGCTGCGAGGGGGTTGTAGGTCGGACGATCGGTGATGGGGTGGGGAGTCATGATTGCTGTCTAGGGAGTAGGATGTGGTTTGGACTTGTTGACGGAGGTAAATGAGGCTTGCTTACGGGTCACACCGGTGCTGAGGTGAGGCTTCGAATCTCATCATCTTTAGGGTTTAGCGCGGATGACGCCCATGGATGATACGAGATGACTTGATTTGCTGCTGATGGACAAATCATGTCCGTGCAGTTGCGGGTGGTGCATGGGTGTTTTGTTGGACGTGCCTGGTTGATACTCGGCTCTCATATTTGTGTCTAGAGATGGAAGAGTTGTCCCTGAAGCCTTGGGCTTATATGGAATGATTTCCTGAGAGCCATGTTCATAATGGCGATTTCGTGCAAGGATGCTAGGTCATGTTCAGTCTGTGCCCTCCCCAGTCTAAAAAGCCTCAAAAAGTTTTCATGTGCAGTCGGCCTCTCCGGTAACCATTGAGATCTGTTTGTACCACCTGCTGATATCTCGTAAGTTCAATCGTACTCAAGGGACTCAGGAAATCCCCGATTTGCAACCGGTTATCCCCGATGTCACAATCTTAATGATGCCACAGAAAGATGCGTAATATTAACCCAAGAACCCAGTCATCATTTCCGAGAACATCTGACAGATGACCAGCCAGTTTGACAGACGTACTTGAATAACATCATCATGGGTTGGATAGAACCAACCCGAGTCACTTTTCAAGTTAAACCTTCCGGAAACTCTTTCCCATCCAGAAACACTCACTTATGGACTTCGGGATTCGCTTCGTGCTTTAAGAGTTTACGACATGAGCACTGCATGATCTGGACAATTATACTGCAAGGCTACTGGATAGTTTGTTCGTGAATCAATATATTCTCAAGACATGCAAGGTTGTCAAAGACTGGTGTAGGGCCGGCCGGACCAAGCCCTAACCCGATAGCAAGATAGAACGATCTAAGAATTGGTAGAACATGTCCTGCTCAGACCATATGATGCCAGGTGGTAGTACATCCCATTACACATTGAAATTCCTAGATCATCTGACTGAAGAGCAATCATTGTCAAACTACAACTATACTTCAGGTGTAACTGGTTATATTGTTTGAGTACCTGGGTAGTCAGACTAAAATACTATTTAGACAGCAGTAATTCGCATGCAATATGTATATCGCGGGATTAATGGAACAAGACCGCCATATTTACTACTACACACATTCATTCTCTCCTTCTAATATGCCATGTATACTGTAAATATAAGGTGTTATAGATTTGTGTTTGAACAAAATCCATTTTCTGAACCACCTACTTAGCGCCCTACCCTCCATTCACATTCACTACTTCTCTAGTACTACACCCAGCTGATCATACGACAGACAAGGATACCACAGCAATCCCTTAATCAAAGAACACCATCTCAGCTCTCCAGACACAAGAATCATTCACAAGCCAAACCAAGGATCATCTAGATTAGGGCTTATTTGTCTCGACCGCATGCCCTTTCCCCTTTCGGACATTCCCATTACGACTAACACGTATGCACCATGTGGCCCATCCGACGATCAATACTGTAACAGGTATACAGTCGTCACGACATCCAAGCGCGCACTATGAGTAGATGTTTGTAGATGTTGATGGGAGTATCCAGATTACGCAGTCTGTCGGACTTTGTGGACAATATAAAGGGGGCTGTATGCTACGTGGTTGATATAACCCGGGGAGGACCATGGACAGTATTGGAGTCCGATACTAGGGATCCCTGTTGATCTTCATTTTCCTACTGGGTGGTTTCTGCAGATCTTGATTGGACATGTTCTGGCAACTATCTTCGAACACACTTCTTGGGGTGATGTTCCTTGAGATGGATCAGAATACGACAAAGTCTGCATATGAATGTTACTATAGTAGGTATAGCCAGCTTTTCGCATAGAACAGAGAAGAGTACCTCCTACGAGCAACCAAGCGAGACTATAGGAGAGAAACGAACATTTTAAATGATTGTATATCGGTATAACGTCTGAGGTTAAAGAAAACAAGTTTCCCTTTCCAAGGATACAGGGGTGGCGTCCGCCAAGAAGGCTTTTATCAAATTATGTTAGTTCATCACCACGAATCGGCCTAGATACACGCAGACAAAGTTGAAACATGACTGGCTAATTCCAGATTAATTATTCATATGCAGCAGATGAAGCACTCATAAGGAGGTCAGTTCCAAACTCGTTCAAACCCTAAATTCAAATAAACACCTGCTTGCATTCTGCTCCACGCGGAAGCCCCACCTAGATAGTAATAACCAAGAATGTGTCTAGTCCAATGGCTCAGGGTCATTCTTATAAGACAGTCCGCTTTCCATACGCACGGCACCGTAAATGCCGATCGCATCGCCTCTTGGCCCCTCGTGCTCCAGCACCGTCTCCAGATGATCGCATGCGATATCGTAGATCTTGATCGATGCGCCGCAGCTGTGGGCGAGCCATTTGACTTTTTCAGCGAGTGCGAGTGCCATTTGCACTTCGACCATGGGCTGTATATACAAGTGCCGGTTGGCAGAGGTCAGCTCGATTGTTATATGTCACTGAGTGGGAGGGAGGGAGACGCACGGTAGTCCGGTGGTAGTCACCGCTTAACATACGATCGTTGTATGCTGCATGAGGGGGGTTGGGGAACAGTGCTGTCATGAGCTTGTTCATGTTGCGGACGCCGAGGCCGCACTTTTCGGCGAAGACATTTACTTCGGCGACGGTTTCCATCGTCGCGAGGATGATCACATTGCCCATCAGTTTGAGGAGGAGGGCTGTGCCGGGTTCTTCGCCGCTGAGGTCGACGATGTTGCGGCAGATGCTGTGGGTGTTAGTTGGAGTGATAAGTGTCAGGTCCTAAAGACAGTACATACACTCCTTGGAGAAACGGACGGATGCGATCGACTGATTCGGCTTTTCCGCACGGGATACAGGTGAGCGTTTGCTTGTGGGCCATTTTGGGTTCACCCATCACTGCGCTCCTCAGTGAGTATTCTTAATTTATCCTAGAGGAAAATACATCACCTCAAGAAGGATCATACCAGGCATAGCGACAAACTCCCCCCCAGCGGCGATCACCCGTCTCGCGATTTCATTTGTACTCTCGGGCCCGATAGTCGAGCTATCAACGAAGAGTTTGCCTCGGATATTATGCACCAGAGCGTTATCGAAGACACTCTGGACAGCACCCTGGTCCTGCAGACACGACCAGATAATATCCGACGAGGCGACTGCCTCTTCGACGGTGTCGACGACACGGCAGTTGCCGATACGCGCGGCGTGGTCTTCGGCCTTGCTCTTGGTACGGTTGTAGATGGTGAGCGGGCGGGAGAAGATTCCGTGCTGGACAAGGTTCGTGGTGATACCCTTATAGATGTCAGATATGTATGTAATATTAATAGACTTCTATCACCTACCTGGCCCATTTGGCCGATCCCGATGAAAGCGATACGGGCTGTCATGTTGGCAGTGGGTGCGATGCGCGATTTCCGGAGCGATTTGTCAGATGTAGCGATGCATGTGCGGACAGGAGTATCAAGGGTAGAGATAGCGTGTATCAAAACGTTTATAAAGGGAGGAAAGTGGGAGAATCTTCTCCTGAGCAGGTTCTGAGTAACATCTAGTCATGACTCTCACGTTGGACTGTCAGAGCGCCACCAAACCAGGACTGGTGGGCCTCGATAGGAGTCAAGACAGTCCAAGTCGACCAGATCAGAAAGAGCTAACCCAACGCTGGATGGTCGGAGCGATGTCAACGGAAATCGTCAGAGCGCCCGGTGGAGCCTGAGGTGTCAGCGTGCATGCAGAATCTCACCCTGATAGGTTTCCGCGGCTTGGCCGAAGATTGTCATCTTGAAAGTTCCCTGCAGTTGGGTTCTTCAGGGACGGGAGGCGTCGCACGAAACTAGGATGCTTTGCTTTTTTTGTCGTGTCGATCCAGCAGGGATTAATTATATCATCATACAGAGGGTTTGGTCGAGTGAGATATCACGGTAGGAATTGCGTGTGTGCAAGGTGACTAGGTGATATGGTAGATTTTTGGTTTCAATTTTGCCTTTTCTTTTTTACTTTTATTTCTTTTTATTGCATGTTTGTCAAAAACGTGTCTGGAAAGCAATTCCGACATGTGAAGGGAATGCTTGGTGGACTGTCGGGTCCCATTGGGGCGGCACGCATATGATACCGCGGGCAGACCGCTTCAGTTTTCAGAAACTTTATGTCCTGAGGCGTACACAATGATGTGAAGGGATCACCTGAAGTATAACTGAGCGGTATCAGTCTTGCCTCTTTTCCATAATAGATGGGATCATGTTTGGGTCTGTGCAAAGTGTCGAGATATGGTCAGCCAGCCCCGGGGGGAAAAGTCCGCTCCGTCGCACATTTTCTAGTAGTATGCTCAGTGAGCAGGGTTCAAAAAACATGCTCCAGTTGAGATGCTAATAGACTGAAATGGCTTCTACAACCATGCTGTGCTGTATGAGACACCGCAAACACGAGCAATCGTCGAATAACGGGATTTGCCCACTACTATGCCGTATCACGTTAACCTGGGTCTCACTTGATCCGGCGAACACTGTCGTCCACTATCATGATGCCTGATCCATTCATCCACACCAGGGGAAAGCCGGACGAACGTAATTGGTGGTCCCAGGGAAGCCTGGCGATGGGATACTCAGCATCAGCAGGGAAATCATGACCACAGACCCGGACTTACAGTGCCGGTGATAGTGACTGAACCATATGGAAAGACACCCCTTGAACGAATCAACGGGCGAGTGCTCACAACTGTCCCGGGTTGTGTATTCGAAGAGCTGTGTTCTTCTGGTCCAGCTGAGAGAGGGGAGAGTCAGATGGGTTCCACGAGGAGGAGGGGCAGTCCGATATCAGGGTCCGTGGCATTCTGGCTATGGGGAGCACAGCATATAAAAGCGTGGCAAATTTTTGACATCAGAACAGTTGTGAATCTGGCTTCACAGCGCATTTCCTTTCCATCGCACCTCGTTACTACCACTTTGGCCCTTACTATATAGACTGGGCCCACTGCAGTTCGCTTTCTCAGACAATCCTCAAATCTCAAATCCGGCTCAACCCTGCATTGAGATTCCTCATGTCCTTCCGCAATCTTCAACATCTCCTAGAGGCTGTGTCCTCGAAGGAAAATACTGGCAAAATCATTTCATACCCCTTGGGAAACACCAGGACCCCCACCATATGCACATATGCCCAGCTGCTGGAGCAGGCTCAGAAGGCCGCCTGGATACTTCGATCCAACGATGCCTTCCGGCCTGGGTCCGTCCTTCTGCTGCATTTCAAAAGCCATTGGGACAATATCCTCTGGTTCTGGGCAGCCCAGCTAGGCGGGTTCACGCCAGCCATGTCCACGGCGTTCTCGAGCAATGTGGCCCACCGCACTGCGCACCTAGAGCACTTGTCCAAGACGCTCATGGACCCTGGGTGTCTCACCAGATCGAATCTGCTCTCTGAGTTCGCGGGCCAAGACGCCATCCACCCTGTCGCTATCGACTCTTTCGACCTAGACAAGGCCCCCTATGCCGAGCGTCGCTCGCACTACCGGGATGCTGATCCCTGCGACACCGCAGTGCTGATGCTCACGTCGGGAAGCACCGGCAACTCCAAGGCCGTGGCACTCGCGCATCAGCAGATCCTGGCTGCGGTGGCGGGCAAGTCGTGGGCGTTGTCCGTCCCCCAAGACACGGCGCTGATGAACTGGGTCGGGCTGGACCACGTAGCCGGACTGACGGAGATCCATCTAAACGCCATGCACGCCCAGCAGAACCAGGTGCATGTGCAACCACCGGACATGTTGGGTGACGTGACGTTGTTCCTGGACTTGATCGACCGACATGCCGTCTCGCGCACCTTTGCTCCTAACTTCTTCTTAGCAAAGGTGCGCTCCGTGCTTCAGCACCAGCCGCCCGGTGGGTTCGGCTGGAACTTGTCCCGCCTGCGTTATATTGTGTCCGGGGGCGAGGCCAACGTGACCAAGACCTGCGACGAGGTGTCCACTCTCTTGGCGCCTTTCGGGGTCCCCCGCAATGTCATCGTGCCAGGGTTCGGCATGACGGAGACATGCGCTGGGTCTATCTATAGTCAGGCGTGTCCACAGTATGATCTAGAGAATAACCTGCCATTTGCATCCGTCGGCCGCTGCATCCCCGGGATGCAGATGCGGGTGACGAGAGATGAAAACGAGCCAGTCCCGGCGGGCGCGACGGGGGACCTTGAAGTATCTGGCGCCGTGGTGTTCCAACGGTACTTCAACAATCCGGAAGCGACCGAGGCTTCCTTCACGAGCGATGGATGGTTCAGAACGGGGGACCGAGCAACGATCTGCGGGCGCGGGTACCTGACACTGATGGGGCGCGCTAAGGAGACGATGATCGTCAATGGGATGAAGTACAACCCGTCCGAGATCGAGAGTGCGATCGACGAGGCACACATCCCAGGGCTAGCACCTAGTTTCACCTGCTGCTTTTCGTCGTTCCCGCCAGGTGGGGAGACAGAGGAGATCTTCCTAGTGTACCTGCCGACGTACAACCCCGAAGATATGGTGGCTCGGGCCCAGACGGCGGACCGCATCGCCAAAATGGTGCTGATGTCGACAGGTTCACGGCCGCAAATTCTGCCACTAGACGCGTCGATGCTGCAAAAGTCGGCCTTGGGCAAGCTGTCGCGGAGCAAGATAAAGACAGCCTATGAGAAGGGCGACTACAAGACGTACCAGGAGGTCAACCATGAGATGATCACGCTATATCGCGCCGCCACGCGACAGGCGCCACAGACCGAGCTCGAACGGCAACTGCTGGCTGTATTTACGGCATCGCTGCCACTGCCCGATGAGTTCGACGTCCAGACGCCCATCTTCGACATGGGGATCTCGTCGATCGAGCTCATCAAGCTAAAGAAGAACATTGAGGAACATCTGGAGTTGGTCGAGGAGATCCCGATGATCACGCTCATGACCAAGGCCACCGTCCGTGCGTTGGCTGCTGCCCTGCAGGAGAGCCAAGCCGGCAAGACAGCCGAGTACAGCCCTGCCGTAACGCTCCAGAGTGGCGGCGACAAGGCACCCCTGTGGCTGGTGCACCCGGGAGTGGGCGAAATCATGGTCTTCCTCAACCTGGCCAAGTTCATCACCGACCGTCCGGTGTACGGGCTGCGGGCGCGGGGTTTCAACGAGGGAGAGAAGCCGTTCTCAGACCTAGACGAAGTCATCCGAACCTACCACACGGCCATCAAGGAGAAACAGCCGACGGGTCCATACGCACTCGCCGGGTACTCGTACGGATCCATGCTCGCGTTCGAGGTGGCCAAGGTGCTGGAGCGGAACGGTGATGAGGTCCGGTTTGTAGGCTCGTTCAATCTCCCCCCGCACATCAAGTTCCGCATGCGTCAGCTCGACTTCACCGAGTGTCTCCTGCATCTGTCATTCTTTCTCGACTTGATGACTGAGGAACGGTCGCGCGAGCTGTCCGTCGAGCTGGAGGGGGCAGGTGAAGACGACGCGATGGACAAAATAATGGAGAATGTGCGACCTGAGCGTATGATTGAGCTCGCCCTATCTCAGCCCGCCCTCATCAAATGGGCACAATTAGCCTTTGCGATGCAGAGCATGGCGTGTGACTACGATCCCCTCGACTCGATCGCGGGCATGGACGTGTTCTACTGCATCCCGTTGGCGGTGGTGGCGTCATCCAAACAGCAGTGGCTCGAGGAGCATCTCAGCAAGTGGAGTGACTTCACACGCTCCGAGCCACGATTCCATTCGGTGGCGGGGGCGCATTACACGATGCTGTCGCCTGAGCATGTGTTTGGGTTCCAGAAGACCTTGCGAGGGGCGATGGAAGCGCGTGGGGTTTAGTATATATCTTGAGTGCGTTGATTATGAGATATTTTCATGGATGTAGGTTAGAATAAATCTTTCGATATTCTGTGACCATAGACTGAATGGTGATGAATTGTTGACACGAAGATGAAGTGAAGCCAAAGTCGAAGATCATCTCGTATCCGATCACTGACCAGACTAACCCGATTAGGTTGCTTCAGGAATATCGGGGATAATTAGTTTGATAGACAGGAATAGCATAGTAGGATCTTTGACGGAGTACCTGCCTACTTTTCGACAAATGTGTGGTGAGAAGAGACTTCTGTATTTCTTCACAGTCTAAGTCCATTCCAAATTCTCAATGTGACGTGGACTTCAGGACGGAAAGAAATGATTGAGGGTGGTGTTATAACAACGAGTTAGGGCTACATGTAGTCGTCCACAGCTCAAAATATTAATTTAACCCCTGGATCTAATATGTAGCAACACCTATATTCATATCATGAATTAACTACCATAATATTCAAGACTGTTTGTAAAGCCCATCACTGATGTCATGCTATATCCCAGAACACTCCTACCTATCCACCCACCACCACATGACAATGACAACAA